TTGTTTTCAGCACCAAATATATGCTTCTTTAGTAAAATTATTGGATTTTGAATTCGTGGTGGAGTGACTCTGAACGAACACAGCTACGATGTATTTGGTCAAAAATTTGGCACGAAATTTTCATAGCGCACTAATTTTTATCAACTTTTCCGCTTCTTTTCTTTTTCACCTTCTGCTTCGTTAAGATTATTTGCCCTCTCCGTCTTTTAATTAGCACGCTAAGTGATAATTTTTGGCGACCACTTCACTTATAAAATTCTCAAGTCAGACCCGATTCGGTTCTAATTATGAATGGGTCATATGGTCAATATGACAATATGGGTCACAATATCATTTTTAGCGCACTAATTTTTATCAACCTTTTTGCTTCTTTTCTTTTTCATCTTCAGCTTCGTCAAGATTATTTGCCCTCTACGTCTTTTAATTAGCGCGCTAAGCGATAATTTTTGGCATCCACTTCACTTATAAAATTAAAATTCTCAAGTCTGACCCGATTCGGTTCTAATTATGATCATCGGTTTGTTGATAAGATTTATTCGCACAAGTAGATTTAACGTGATGGCAGCATTTCTGAGAAGAACCAACTACTATTTTCTAATAGATACAGTAAATCTACTGTGTATTTTTAAACTTCGATTGCTGTACGCACATGAAATATAACCTGACAAATTTATTCATTTTTCGTTTTCAATTTATTGACCCTGATAAAATAATAATTACGTAAGCGTTTACTTCAATGAAATTAAATTTTTACAACAGTGGCAATTATTCTCGCAAATGGCAATACTTTCTCCTGCAGGAAGAATTACTACAGAAAAATTGATTACACAGTACCCGCATTCGCGTAAGCGATGGCAACATTTTCGTTTTACGGTGACGCGGTTGTACGGCTTGATAGGCTGCTATCGGGGCTCGAACGGTGAAATATAACCAAAAATAATGAAATTTGGCGAGGTTCTAATGAATAATTGAGTTAAATTTTAGAAGATTAATCAAATTATTATCTAGATTTTATTATGGAAAATTATTTAAAGCTATTAATTCTGAAACACTGAAGTGGTCACTGGTCAATGGTCATCCGTCGACCGTCAGCGTCAGATCCTCAGAGGAGAGCCTAAAAACTTGATTTGTGACTAGTAGTTACAACTACCTAGTTAGCACCGTCTAATATGTATCTAATCAAACCGAATGCGAATGGTGTGTAAATTATCATAAAATTTATAAATGTTATGAGAAATATATAATCAGTTCATTCAGTTGGTCTCTAGACACTGTAGTTCAAGAGTTCAAGTTATTTCAAAGTGGCGGGCTGGCGGCACCGCGGCAGTGGCCTTCTACCGCCTTCATTGTATAAGATAGAAATACCTAACCAAATTTATCTCAGCATTTTAGAGGTTTATCTGTCGCTGTTGCATCTTGGCGATTTCCAATTTTCCAGCTTGTAAGCAACATTTAAATTAGGTATATAAATTACTGTTGAGAATTGTGATTTTATTTAGCTATCCAAAAAGAAATGTCTCCAAGACTCCAAGTTACAAGTACCTAGGTAGGTAGGTAGTAGGCAGTAGGCTATCATGCTAGCCTCATTCAATTATATCATTGATGTTTTCAAATTTTTTGATTGCATTTATTGTTTTTCTAAAGATGAAAATGGGTAGGTACTAATATGATCATGAAATAACTATTTTGAATTTTCCAAATTTTCTCTCTCAAGAGATGGCAAATGAAGCAATATTAAACTAATTTTGATTTTTGTCTTATCAGACAAAATTTTTGCAAACTCCCTAGCAGGCCCAGCTACTATGGTTTCATTGGTTGAGTTTTGAGTCCCACTGACAACAAATTCTTTAGGGAAGCTAGGCCAACACAGCCATTCATACAATTCTGATTGATAAATGAATACTTGGTTTGCCTAGGGACTAGGCCACTAGGGTACAGTGTAATTTGTGTTATGCATGAGCATGAATAATTCTAGTGGGTCAGTGAGCCAGACAGCCAGTGATGGTTGTGGAACTACTTTTGGCCTTAGTACCTAAGTGCCCTGAAAAACAGACCAATCACCCTTCCCTTACCTAATTGCCACCACCAGGTTTTTTCAAATCAGTGTGAGAAGGGTAATTTTTTCATTCAGGTTTTATTTGTATTTCATGCAGCCTGTGTTAATTATAAAAATTTTATGTGTATTATTCATTATGTTATCTTTGCAGGTATAAAGTAAAATAACAAATTGTTTATGGTTAGCTAAAATTTTTAAAGAGCCCCAAAAATGGGTGACAGCGATGATGAATATGAACGCAGGCGGGACAAATTCCGTGGAGAACGAGCAGAATACCCTGCTGGAGCCCAGCCTGGACGAGACAGGCGCATGGACAGCAGACGTGGTGGACGTGAAGATTGGCCTGATGGGTTAGTTCATTTTGGTTGGAGCTGTAAATTCACTGCAGAATATAGTGTGAATAGTTGAATATGTAGTGTGACCTATTCTATTCACATTTTTCAGTATAATCTTGTAGTAGCTTCAGTTTTGAAATTTTAATATTGACATTAATATATTTCTTGAACACCTTATGTACTGATCTATACAGTATACACACCAAATTTTTGCTGTTGTCACATGAAATGATGAAATTGTGCTAATTCACAGCAGGATGAGAGAATGGTATGGACGTGACCGTGGTGGAGCTGGTGGCGGCCGTCGTGATTTTGGAGGTGCTGCAGGAGGGAGGGGAGATTTTGGTGGAGCCAGAGCCCGTGACAGATACTCTCCCCCTCGGCATGACATGTCACCACCTCCTAAAAGGATGCGTCCTGATTGGTGAGCACTTTTTCATTGGCAGGAGCTTTTTCATTGGCAAGAGCTTTTTCATTGGCAAGAGCATTTTCATTGGTGAGAGCTTTTTCATTGGTGAGAGCTTTTTCATTGGTGAGAGCTTTTTCATTGGTGAGAGCTTTTTCATTGGTGAGAGCTTTTCTTGTCTAGTCTGTTCTTGAACGCGTTCATACTCGGAGCGTCAACAATATCTTCAGGGAGGCTGAAGTAACAATACAATACAATATATCTTCGGGAACAATATCTTCGGTGACTCGAAGCGAGAAGAAATGTTGTCTCGTGGATAAGTTGCATCGCAGTTTTTTTAGTTTATAGCTGTGGCCCCTGGTGTTGGTTCTTGTTTCAAATTCTAGTAATCCTTCTGGGACCTTGTACAAACCATGAGTATACTTGTATACTTCGATGAGTTCACCACGCAGGCGACGATAATGGAGACTGGGAAGGTTCATAAGCTTCAATCTTTCTTCAAAAGACTTGCCCCTTTAATTCTGGGATTGTCCTTGTTGCATGTCTTTGAAGACTCAACAAAATTTTTGTCCTTTTCAAGTCTTGGTGACCGCACAACGTTTCCAAACTCTAGGTTTGGGCACACAACAGAGGTTAACAACAGCTTCATCATTTCTATATCTAGGTACTCGTAGGAGCGTCTGATCAGCCCAAGCAGTTTATTGGATGTATTAACTTGAGGTTCAATATGGCTATAAAATTTTAGCTCCTTGTCGAGACAAACTCCAAGATCTTTTTCCACGCAAGACTTCTCAATCATAACCCTCTCGTTGCAACCGTGTCTTCTCATGCTGTAAGCTTGCTGTTCATTGTTCTTGCCGAGGTGAAGTACTTTACACTTGTCAGCATTGAAACGCTGCTGCCACGCATCAGCCCAGTCAACTAAACTATCAAGATCATTTTGCAGTTGCATTTTATTTTACGCAGCTTTAACTGTATTATAAACTTTTGTGTCATCGGCATTCATGGAGCACACGCTTTACACTACTTCTGGTAGATCGTTTATAAAAGCGACGAACAAAACAGGTCCATGAATGCTATTTAAAAATTAAAATTAAATAAATTAAAATTAAATAAATAAAATAAATTAATCCAATTTATTGTATAATCTATAGGGAAGAGCGAAGGTATCCTTATGAAGGTGCTGGCAGCAACTACCCAGCAGCCATGTACAGCAGTTATCCTCACGAGTATGTCCATGCTGCACCCCATGCTGGCGTCAGGTTTGTATTAAAATAAGATAGTTTTTTTTACAGCACGTTGGCTGTCTTGATTAAAAGTCTTTATATAATAATTCAAATTTAGAACTAATTTTATTGAAAAACTTGGAGCTATTTCAATTTATTTATAGTTTTTATAACAAATTAATACCTTATAGTTATATCATTACAAATTCATTACAAAAATTGAATTTTTAAACCATGCACTTGATTTATGTAACAATGGAAATAACCATACAGTATTATTTTCATCGGCTATCATATCAAGATATTTCACAAGTTCTGTGTTACAGAGGCGGGGAAGAGATGGGCCCAACGCAGCCGCCCATGATGTCCTTCAAGGTATTCATGGAGCAGTGCGACGAGACCATCTCAGACGCCGATGCTGTCCGCAAATATTCTCAGTATAAACTTGAATTCAAACGGCAACAACTTAATGAGTTCTTTATCAGCCACAAGGAAGAGGAATGGTAAGTTTTTAATCTTTAATCCTCATTTGAGGTACATTCAATTAACAATGACCAGTTTACCAAAGCTGAGTTCACTTGAGTTACGAGTGTATGCCATCTGGGTGGAGTAATGGATTTGCTTTGTATCTGAGCATTCCCATATTTAGAGTTGAATTCTTGCATCAAAATTTTTTACCATCACTTGATAATTTTCCAAGTTCCAGCTAGCATTTTAGTTCAAGTCTGTACGACTATAAACGTGACTTACCTTATCAAAATTGAATCATAAATTTTGCTCAGATCGTAAAATTATTTCAGTTACTGATTCAAGTGTACTTCCATATATTGAGTCCAAATGTTTGTTGGTTCTGGGGAAGGATGACTGCAGTTAATGTGCAATTGTTCCTCACACTTTCAGCTCAAGCCGCAGCATTTAAGTTGATACAAACAAGGAGCGTTTTTTGCAATAGTGTTTTGTGCAATGATTTGGAGGAGCATCGCCTCAAGTATTTCTGCTGCACAGAGAGGCAGTGCTCGGTAGGGCGCGTATAATGCTAGGTGTAATGGCTGCGCGCAATGCAGTTAAGCGGCGAATTTGTTAGGCATGGACCGCACAATGGTCCTGAGTGTGTTGTGTGACATGCGTCGTATTTACCCCTGGCGTCAGGGTTGGCACTGCCTCTCTGTTCGATGGTGTCTCTCAGCTCTGGTGATGATGGCGGTACCGGTAAGTAGCTAATATGATAGGTAGATTTTCCTAATCGTTACCTATCGTTTTATTTCACTATTGTATTTTCTGATTTCTGCACTTACGCGCCCTCTACATTTTTCCTAGCTTCGTGCATTCAGACTTAATTCACTCTGAGGAATCAGTTACCAGATGACACTAAAGTAGGTATGTCTCTTGCTGTGTTCTCTGAAAGTGGAAGGAAAAAAAATGCGATTGTCTACGTACTACTTCAACGTGCGGTAGAAACCGTCCATGGTGCGTATGAAAAACTGGTCATTTTCTACTCGGAAATTGTTTGAAAGGTCAAGTTTGATTTGTTCTAATTAATTTTTTATCTTTAGGTTCAAAGCCAAGTATCATGCAGAAGAACACGAAAAACACAAAGAAGAACAGATAGCAAATCTAAAGGTGAGAGGAATAATCTAAATACCATCCATTTTTCAATTCTCTAAATAAGCATTATGCCGTCCTTCTTGAATAATGTTGCAAAGTGGTTGGGTTATTAAGGTTCAAATATGGTAATTGAATTATGATCTTTTTCGTTTTACGTAATCTTTATCATTAGAGTGCATTTGTAAATTCTTAACCCGTGATTTGCATGAATATTAATGTCTGCCATTGTACAGAGGAGGATTGGGGTGTTCTCGGACCTGGACAGTTCAGGACGCCTCAACGTTTTTGTCGATGCTGATCAGTCACATCAGCTTCTGAAACTCCTGGACTCTGTTGTCATCAAGCTTGAGGGTGGCACAGATCTCGATCTTCAGGTATAAATGTTTGCTAAACGCTGTTGATGCACACTCGAGTATTCGCCAACATTTCTACTTGATTCCTAATTCTGGTCTCAATTTCATGTGTTGCGTTTTTATCATGTTAGCTGTCTCAAATTAATTGCAAAATGCTTTAAAAATAAATTTGAATGGTTACAATTTACTGTGATTTATTTTCACATATTTCGGCAGTTTTTTATCATCTTGGGTGTCTCAAAATAATTACAAATGTTAAGAAATAAATTTGAACTGTTGCAAATACTGTGATTTGAGCTCGAGCTTAATATTTGCAAGGCTTTATTAGTCCCTGTTCATGGCTTTATACATGCTTTATACTTTTTTATCATAATGTTTCGTGATGAACCTTTTTAATTAATATTAGAAATACCTTAAAATGATTTTTGTACCAACACGTCTATAGTGCTTTGATTTTCTTAGGTTCTGGATGAGCCAACAGAGGAAGAGTTGGCCAAAAACTCGGGAATCTTGAGCATTGACGGACCTACCAATGAGAACTCAGATCTGAAGCCTCTCATTGTTACTGGAGAGTGAGTCAATGAAATTATTTGGTTCTAAATGAATAATTGGCCAATCTGTTTCTTTCTGAAATATGCATGTGAACTCGCCTCGCTAAGCATGGATTTATGATCTTAAATAATGTATTGTAAATTCTTTGATCGTTCAATCCTTAGGGTGGACAAATCGTATGGAATGTTGCTAATTGTGAATGATTTGAAGGCTAGTTTTTGCATTAACGGCATACTTTGGTTAAAATTTGTACTGAATTATTAACATTGCTGATTTTCTAATATGCTGGAGGAACATTTAATGGTAATAGTTGTACTGATGTTGAAATGGTGTTAGCATGATCACAGTTAACATGACGCCCATATTTTGTAGCTCTGATGATGAAAAGAAAGACGATCCGAAAAACAAGGACCCTGAGAAGCCTCCAACAGAAGAGGAGCTTCAGAAGAAAGCAAAGGAATACCTAAAAGCCAAGTCATCTGAAGCTGGTTGGTTCACGTTCAGTAAATTTTTAACTTAAGTTATTGACACCGTCGATAAATTGACATTGCTTTGATTTTGTGTAGCCCATTATGTCTTAGATGCCGATGATTACACAACTAATCCTGAACGTGATATTAAATCCAGGTTTTAGGGGCTTGCCATATAATCTAACTAAATGGTGGTAGACATTTTGCTTTACTTGCCGATATATTAATATGTCCCTATTTCTGAATGGATCATACAAGAAGAAAGAAAACTCAACCTTGTTTGGCATAAAGTTAATAAGTAAACGCCTGAAAAATATCTCAAAATGGGATTTGTTTTGCTCAAACTCGATTTTACGTACCATCATCATAACTTGCTCATTGTTACCATGTTTGAATCGAATGTCAGTATAGAAATAGCCATTTACAGCTGGTACAATATCATATACTTTTAGCTGTGGATGCCCGTAAGAGGAAGCGGTCCCACAGCAGTTCGTCAAGTAGCAGCAGTTCGAGCAGCTCCTCGAGCGACTCTGAGGCAGAGGCCCCACCTGGTGCTGACGTTGCTGCTTCAACTGCCGTGGAGCCTCTGCCACCTGGCATGGATATCCCTCGAGACGATGATGCTGATCCAGAGATTGTGGCTGAAAATGGTGGGACATTTGTTTCGTTTCTGAATTTATTAATATTTAATAAGTTTAAACATGGTATTTTTTTTTTATTTCCTGATTTCATAGTGAAGTGTTTGTATTTTCAATTAATAGCTGGTCATTGTTTTGGTTAATAAGAACATCGCTTCTCATGTTTTAGACTTGAAAGAAATTAAATTTATCAGTTTAGTGTTATTCCATTATTTCTTATTTATTCATGGTGAATACAGATCATTTAAATTTCTGAAATGTTCAAGATAATTTGTATTATTAATTATTCTCATAATTTTGACTTCCCGCGACCTGCAGGTAGAACTAACGGCACTTCGGCTGATCCTGCATCAGGCGTCCCAGGCTCGGGCACTGTTGAGAGCGGCGACAACCCTGAAGTTTCTGAGGAGCCTAAACCTCGAGCTTTGCACAAGACGGCGTCTATATTCCTGAGGAATCTTGCTCCTACCATAACCAAGGCTGAGGTTGAAGCTGTAAGTTGTTGATGCAGATGCTGCCATAAACTTGTATCCTCCAGTTTCATGTGTAAAAATGTCAATCTTAAATCTGACTAAATACGTTTATCGTCAGAGGATAAACCATCGATGTTCATACAGATTTGATCAATTTTAATAGCGGATATCCAAAAATTGGTATCATGCTCGTGTTTAATCAAGTTCTTATGTATCTTACATTATTTTGTGTGGATTGAAATGGAATGATCATTTGGTTGTGAGATGCGTTCTATGTTTATTCTTTTTTAATCTTGCACTTAAGAATCTTGGGATTTTGTACTACAACAAAAAATGTACAACAGAATGACTTCGTGTGAATGCTAAAGGCATTTGATATTTCTTCTTGTTAAGCCTTTATTTACCTCGTGAACTTCAAGTCCGAGTTATTATTAATTATTAATTAATTTATTGCAGATGTGTCGTCGCTATAGCGGCTTCTTGCGAGCTGCCATTGCAGATCCACAACCCGAACGCCGTTGGTTCAGACGTGGCTGGGTGACGTTCAAGCGAACTGTGAATATCAAGGATATCTGTTGGAACCTCAACAATATACAGGTAATTTAGTTTAACTGAAGCCAGCTTCTCTGTTTGGCTTAGAATTCTATTTGACTCGACAGTTGAAGGTGGATTGGTTCAATGGTTTATTAGTTTTCTTTTCAAAAAGCCTTATCCCATTTCCAATCTTAACTACTTATAGCCGTGTGCGTAAATTATTTTTGTCCTATCTTAGATACTGTTAATACTATGATCACGTATTTTATTTCGTGAATTTTTTCAATAAAAATTCGCCTATTTCAGCTACGTGACTGTGAGCTTGGCGCCATCGTTAATCGCGACTTGAGCCGCCGCATCCGGACGGTGAATGGCATCACCTCGCACCGTAGCGTCGTCAAGGCCGACATCAAACTGGCTGCCAAAATCATTCAGAATCTGGACTCCCGTTGGGGTCTGTGGAATGACTCGGGTGCAGGCGCTGCTGATCACGTGAGGAATTTTTCTTCAAATGGCAATTGTGACTGAAAAATAAGCTTGACATTTTCGATATTGTTAACTCGAGATTTTTATGGATATTTTGTGACCTACTGATGCCGTGAAATGCTTCGTAGTGATATTTTTAACTAAGTACGGATGATGATATTCAAAATACTGTTATTTAGTCACAGACTCTGACGTCTTCAAGCAACCCTGTACTTCGCAACATCACCGATTATCTCATCGAGGAGGCCAGCGCCGAGGAAGAAGAGCTCCTTGGGGGAGTCAGAAGCGTTGATGGCGGAGATGAGCAGAGGAAAGCTGACGACAAGAGTGATGGTGAAGCTATCGAGCGCGACGAGACGCTAATTAAGGTAATTTTATTTCGGTCGTGTGTTTTTTAGCACGTTTTCTCATTTATAGAAAAAAGGCGCTATTTTGCTCGTCATGTCCGTCTGTCTGTCTGTCTCTCTGTCCGGCTGTCTGTCTCACTGTCCGGCTGTCTGTCTCTCTGTCCGTCTGTCTGTCTCTCTGTCCGTGACTTAACGTTTTTCGTCGACGAGAAAAAACGCGCTCTGTCACTGCATTAAGTACTGAGTTATATTTTTTCTGCATCTATATAATGTCTTTCATGAAAAATAAGTTTAGAAGTTACTGCTCTCAGCAGAACGTGAGTTATTACACCTAGAAATGATCATAAATAAATATTCTCGATAGTCGTTTTAACATAGCTCTATTACCCATCAGGTGCTCGACCGCTTATTGCTGTACCTCCGCATCGTTCACTCGGTGGATTACTACAACCACTCGGAGTATCCTAATGAAGACGAGATGCCCAATAGGTGCGGCATCATGCATGCTCGAGGCATCCCGCCCTCCAGCAAAGTCACTCAACAGGAAGTGCAAGATTACTGCGGTGCATTCGAGAATAAAATTGGATCATTCCTCCAGCCTCTCACTAAGCTCACAGATGAAGAGGCCAAGAAACTCGGTAATTAACTTGTAAAACCTTGACTCTCTAATTTCTTGATTATTTTCAGTTATAGTTTGACACCTCTTCAGTTTTTCCATCGTGCTGATTTCTGATGGTAGGATATAAAGTGGAAAGTTCAAGGATATGAACTTCATATAAGTGGATATAAGGATATCCACTTCATATTCCATCGGATATGAAGTGGAAAGATGTACTGTTACCGAACTTGTGTGTACGTTCTATGAACTCGTGTAATAAATGACGCTTTGAATTTGCTCGTCTCAGATAAACCAATTTTCGTTAAAATTCACACAGGCCTTAAGGAAGCCGAGGATGAGGTGGAGAAGTTTGTGCAAGCCAACACTCAGGAAGTGGCTAAAGACAAATGGCAGTGTCCGCTCTGTGGCAAGAAATTCAAAGCAGCTGAGTTCGTCCATAAACACATCCTGCACAAACACGCAGAAAAAGTCAAGGAAGTCAAGAAGGAAGTGAGTTCAGTGATATATTCTTAACATGCAATCATTGGTAGATGCTTCTTTGATTGTATGTAATTAAAAAAGAATAATTCAATTGATACACACAAATTAAACATGATGTATGAAATTTTAATTCGGTGCGCCAACAATTTTGTCACCAACATATTTCTCGTTTTGGTTAAAAATTCGGTTTCTGATATACACTTAACACTCAGACCTTGTCGTTTGCAGGTTGATTACTTCAACAACTACCTGCGTGATCCGAAGCGACCTCAGCTGCCCGAATTTCCCACAAAGGGACTTGGAGGAGGGATGATGGGGCGTAAGGACGACATTCGTCCTGATCCTTACATCGCTGCTTACCCGCAGCAGCCAGCCGCGTGAGTAAAATAAGCTAATGTAATCATATGTTGTCTCCGAGTAGCCTAATATACGAGTCGCTTGTGGGCTGATCCAGAAAGCTGAGGTCAAAACTTATAGCCTTGCGTGACACCCTAATCTTTTTACTTGTTGAGCTAACAGCGTGCAACATGAAACACCAGGCAGTGTCCCTCGTAAAGATTGTCTTTGCACAGCTTGTGATGTAAACATTTGTAGGTGACCGAACAATAGTCAGAAGTGGGTCTCTCAAATACTTCCTACTCTAGCTCCTTAGCAATGAATGACCAGATTTAGTAACAGCTTTAGTAGCGAGCATCCTTGGGACGATTACCCTAACTCTTACCGTACCTAATCTCTCCGCAGTTACGGTTACGGAGCTCGTTACGGAGGCGGCGCGTATGGTCCGGCTCCTGTAGCCCCAGGTTACGGAGCTCCTGCAGCGTATCCCCGTGACGCCTACTATGGCCGTGATCCATATCCGCAGCTACGCGATCAGCGTCCTCGGGCAACGTATCGCTCACGGTATGTTTAGCTGGCCAGTTCCAGTTATTCGTTCGAGAATTGTTGATAGGTAGTCCCTTCCTTTACCATGGCCAACCGATAATACGAAAGAGTTGAGGGGGAACTTGATAAATTTTCGAAACGTATATGGCCCTGTCTTCTGCTATAATTAGAAATTTCTCGGAATAATAGTTTTGTTTTCATACAATTTTGTAATTTTAATATGTGTAGGAGATAGCTACTATTTTCCTCCTTCAATCGTATATTTAACTGATGAATTTTAACATATTTTTTAACTGATGGAAAAAAACACTGAGAACCGGACAAAGCGATGCTTGTTGATGTGGAATTAGATGTAGTAATTTCTTTTCTAGGTCAAGCGGCGATCCCAGAGAGCTCATCGGTTATCACGATCTTGATGTGCCGGGAGATGCGGACTTGTTTTGATTCCCTCAACGTAGATGGTTTGTGGCTACTGCAATTCACTGCCCGCATTGTGTTACTGTTGCTCTAACGTAATTGATATATTCAGTAGTAAACGCACTGAAGAATCTCTTCTTTAAATAGATTCATCTTTGAATTTGTCATTAATTAAAGCTCGAAGTGCCATTTTGAATTATCCATAGGCAATGCTCAGTGACTGGTAACATGATGCTGGTTGGGTCTGTGGATGTCACTTAGATCTCGTTGAGTGGTCGTGGGACTACTTATTTCCAAGTAGAAATCTCTGGGACCTGGCCAGCATCGTTGACTGATGCTGTGTTTCTGGTGTTGCAGTGTCGGATATCGTGATTTGGACGCACCTAAGGAGGAGTATTGAGGCTTAACCGGCAGAGCAGCGTCTGCTGTGTCAGCCTAGCAATGCATCATTCGTCAGTCACCTGATCGTGACACCTAAGTTTAGTCCTAATAACCTCGGCCGCTAGCGTATGCTGTAGGAAAAATAGAAACTCGGAGGGAAGGTGGTTATTGGGACTGAGGTTATTGGGACTAACGTTCATCATTTGCTTGTCCGACGAGATTTTTTATGTTACTCAAAGGTTAGACTATTTAATTCAGATATCTCCTATATGATGTTTCATTTGAATGGATTACTTTTCAAAATGGAAATTTAACAAAATGTTTGATGACTTGGGAAAATTTGAGTTAAATTTTCGCGACTTTGGGTTTGGTGAATTTGAACCTTATTCTTCAGTGATATAGACTGCAAAATAGAAAGTAAAAGTGCCAGTAAGTCTGGATTTAATTTTCAGAGCAGATATGAATCAAGTCCTTGGAACTTGAGTTAATGGTTTAACTTATTCGACCTTCAGATTCATTGACACCTGTAATGAAACTATAATAAAGAAATTGCCCCATTTAGTGCGTTTTTCTCCATTCAAGTTAATCGTAGTGTAATGCCAGAGTTCAGAAAGTCTAGGCAGTGTTTTTTATTTTAATGCGTTCAACTCCCTTCAAATTCATCGCAGCGCGATGCAACATTCCAGAAATCGCGTATTACGTGCCTTACTTGATGATCGAATTTCGAATGAAGAAAACCATTGCATCGTGAGTGCAATTTTATTAAAATGCAAACATTAACAGCCTTCCCGATGACATCGTTGGCGCTCCAAGTATGAACGCGTTCAAGAACAGAATAGATAAAGCTATGGAAAAATATATGTTCAGACTGAAATGCCTAGCACCATATCGAACCCGGTGGAAGGAAGTCGAGTAGCTATTTCAAACAATCGTCAGTCATGAATAGATCCGGTCAAATGACACGATTTTAAATCTGTGGACAAGGCACGAAAAGGAAAAGAATCTGCGACAGGCCACATCAGGCCTACACTTCAGCGCTGACATCACAAATGTTATGTTATTTCGGTACTTGCTGTAGACTTCTAACTTCATAGAACTGTGGTGATATCGTTACCATAGCAACCAGAAACTTGAACAAACATTTAGTCAGCTTGCCAGTTGGCCAACACATCACGCCAACATAAATATTCGATTCTGGGAAATTCAGGAACATGCCGACATCGCCCAATAAATTGTTGAAAATGGACCCAATTTCACGGTGAGAACACAGGAATGCTTTACGATTTTACTGCAATGCCAGGTTTCCGGCCTTTTGTAAAGCACAGACTAAGAAAAATTTGTTCCAGGCCGCAGAGAAGGCAAGATGAAAAGCATCAAATTCCTAGCGATGCCGAGGCATTGGAAAGGAACGAGAAATTGCTCAAGGTGAGTTCAATCTTAGATAATCCTTTGACGTGTATTGCGAGGTCAGTGTGAAAAATTCCTTGTGCGACCCCCCACGAACGCATTGTTGCACTAAATGTTCTTTAAAGTAACGAATTCGAGAAATTTCAAGTATGAATATTTATGTTCCTCCGACACTGTCAACTTCTTGACGAATCATCTTGCGTTAAGTAAAATTATATGCAGGCAGTAATGCTCACTAATTGCTTTTCACCAAGGGTCGTTGTATTTTTTTTTCAGGAAATCAACAAAGAAATTGAGTTGTTGAAAGCAAAGAATCACAACCCGCTGCACGACAAAATAGAAGAATTAAAAACGGTTTACCTGAATCGGTGATCCTAGAATACAACGTGAAGTTGGGGATAGAGAACGGATGGTTGAACTATATACTACGTAGTTCAACCATGAGAGAACGTGTCTTCTTACAGCGGCCTCGCCTAGACATGCAACGTCTAATTTTAGTGTCGAGTCGATGACCGCAAATCGAACGTAGTACCTTGAATCATAATCTTGAAGCTGAAGTGTTTAGGGTAAAAAATTTTAAAAACAAACGTTTCATTTTTTACCTTGAACCGACATAAGAATCGATATTTCTCAACTCTAGTAATATTTCACAAACAAAATAATTAGAATTCAACATTTTGGCTGTACAATACAGTCAATGGTTCTTGTTATATCCACAAGCTAGGAACTAATCAGTTTATACACTGCCTCTTTGCTGATCTAAAATTCAAAGGCATCGAGAATAATACTAGCAGCAGACGAATTATTACCTAGTCAAACCTATTTCTATGGCACAGAATGCTTGCATATAAATTAAATTCATTTAATATTGCTATTGACTGGAGAACTAAGACGGCAGCATCAGCAATAGCAGCACCTGAATAACCTGATTCCTGAGTTACTTCGCTGCTGTAAGCCAAACGTGGCAGAGCAAACTGCAAGGATTGAAGGTAATTTAAATGTATGATCTTATATAAATTGTGGCCCTGGAAGTATGAATTGACTCTGGACGAACACGCTAGCATTAATTCGATGAAGTCAGTATTTAAAGCCTGTAAATTGATTTTCAATTTTTCAAAGAGTTTTAGTTTTTAGATAAAAATTTTCGAACGTGCTAGGTTGAATTACGCATTTAAAACTACAGTCATAATTCTTTTTAGTTGTATCTAAAATTAGAAGCACCCAAATAGAATACATCTTCGACTTGATTTTTGACTCTGCATTTCGTCATCGTATCTAGAGCTGCATGGCCCTGCACAGCTCATCTGAGATAACTTCCTCCAAGAAGAGTGTTGGAGAATTTAAATTTTTTTTGTAATGGGAAGCACCAAAATAGAAGACATCGCTTCAACTAAGTCAAAAGCTGCGTGGCCAAGTATCGCTCATCTGAAATAGCTTCAGTCGCGGGGAGTGTTGGAGACCGGAGGCTAACACTCGCCGGGTAACGAATGCCGGCGATGTCCACTTCGTAAACCCCGTCCAGGACATAGTCTGGCTCCACGGCCACCATCTCTCCCTTGCTGTTGTAGTGACGAATGAAACCCAGGCACACCTGACCGAACAGATAATAGCAATTAGTGAAGAATAATTTGGTTCTTTACACACAGCTAAATAGTTGTAGTGCCGAATGAAACCCAGGCACACTTTAGTAGATCAAATCAAAGCGATTAGTAAAGAACAATTTGGTTATTTACACACAACGTAATAGTTGTAGTGACGAATGAAACCCAAGCACACCTGACCACATCAAAGCAAAGCGATTAGTGAAGAATAATTTGATTATTTACACACAACTAAATAGAGAGCCAATAGTCTAACTCTGAAATTATTTGCGTCGCTCTGAATTCACGAGCGTAACTATGAAATAACTTTCATAACTCTGAAATGACTAGCGTCACTATGAAAGCACTAAAGTCACTCTGCATGACAATTATAACTCTATCACTAGCATCCTTCTGAAACAACAATCAACTCTGATAAGTTTCAAAGAAAAGGTTACTTTCAACAGACCAGGTTGCGCAGGCTGAAGCCGTAGCCCGTGGTGGTTGTGACTCCCACGAACTGCCCGTTCCTGTAGATGGGTTCGCCTCCCCACGGCCACGCGTCCACCCTGTGGTCGTGGTCGTCAAGCACGAGCTGTACGTACAGACGCTTAGCTCCTGTCTCACGCTGACGGAGCAGAGCGTCGCGGCCGATGAATTCGATAGGCTTCTGAAGAAATTTCGAAATTTTAGTTGCGTTTTTATTTTTTTTTTTTGCACTGATTGGAATGAAGAAACTTCAAAGTTTTAATGAAATTTAACTTAAGTTTTCTTTTGCAACGATTGGAATGAAGAAAGTTCAAGGTTTTAATAATAGTGAAGCTCATTGCGCAGGTAAGCTTTAGAGATGAAAATTCATCTTTAATCAGAATTGAAACCGAAATGAAAGTTAAATTTTAGATTTTTCTTCATTTAGCGAATTTTTTCATTTATGGAAAAAAGGCGCTACTGTGCTCATCATGTCCGTCCGTTTGTCCGTGACCACGTTTTCGTTGACGAGAAAATGCGCTCTCTGTCACTAACTGCAGAGAGTAATGAGTTATATTTTTTTTGTTTTTGCAACGATTGGAATGAAGAAACTATAAAGTTTTAATAGTAGTGAAGCTAATTACGCAAGGAAACTTTAGAGATGAAATTTCATCTTCAATAAGAATTACAACCGAAATGAAGTCTAAAAATTAGATTTTTCCTCAATGCATGGTAAGATACATATTATTTTAGGTTAGGTAAATTTTATTTGATTCAGGTTAAGAGTAGCACATCGAGAGATCTCCAAAAATAATTCAAAGCTTTATTCAATTACCGACGGTTGAAAATCTAAGATACGTCATTCAGGCATTAACGAATAAATTTATAATTACGTGAACAACAGATAAAACCTCATTTAAAAAACATCGTCGGAAGAACTGGAAACTTTCCGATCTCAAAGCAGATAAAGAACACAAACAAAGTTCATTTGAAATGTTGAAGGGAGCATTTGAGATTGCAGCTAGACATTCAGACACACTAATTATATTCTGACAACACCAGTTAGAAAATAAAATTAAGAGATCAAGTTTTCATTCCAACTCTATTAATTTGTCCATCTCACATCTAATTTGACTCTGAAGGCACGTCCGCACTCGAGGGGTGTCGTGGCGGAGTCCAAGTCTTGGCCCCAGAAAGCATAGAACCTCTCAATCCTCAGGGAACGCATGGCATAATAGCCTGCAGGGCGCAGTCCATGTGGCTCTCCTGCTCTCTGGAGGCTTTCGTACACATGAAGCGCAAACTGAAAAATATAAGTGAGCATGAAAGTCTGATAAAAATATTGAATGGAAGAAAAAACTAACATTGAAGTAAACTAAATCTACCATCAAATTGTAGGTGAAGTAATAATGTCATTGAATAATGATGGGTTGCTTATGAATGCAAACTATTTTTTTATGATATGAGCGATTTCGAGTCCCTATTGTTACGTATCTATAACCTCATTGGGGATGTAAAGAACCCATCCGAGTTCTCCAGTGTGAGTGAGATTCATAGCCCGGACGCCGTTAGCGAAGCCCACGTCAATTTCCCGGAATGAGAAAAACGGAAAACTTTTCAACGATGCATTTTCTCGTCGACGAAAACATGAAGTCACGGACATGACGAGCACAATAGCGCCTTTTTTCCATAAATGAGAAAATGCGCTAAAAACATGTTAGCATGAAAGTCTGTAAGTATGATAAAAATATTGCATGGAAGAAAAAAAACTAACATTGAAGTATACTATGTACTGTATACTATCATGAAATTCCGGGTGAAGTAATAGTGTCATTGAATTATGATAGGTTGCTCATGAGTGCAAACTATTTTTCTTTATGCTATTAGAGATTTTGTGTCTCTAATGTTAAGCCTCTAACCTCATTGGGGATGTAAAGAACCCATCCAAGTTCTCCAGTGTGAGTGAGATTCATAGCCCGGACGCCGTTAGCGAAGCCCACGTCAATTTCCCGGAATGAGAAAAACGGAAAACTTTTCAACGAGAGGTCGAAGTCCGTCACGGCTGAGAGAACTGCTTTTGATTTGGGACCTGCGCAACGCAGAAAGTCTTTATTTGTCATTCTCACTACGAATTAGCTTTTAACATCATTTGAATAAACGTCAAAGGTAATTTCAACTTTCAGTTAAAATAGATACATCATACAGAGTACAACGGATATAGTTTTAGTAGAACTTCAGTTGCGAAGATTATTCATAAATTACAGATTTATGATAGAAATGATTTTTTACAATAATACTAGTTTATTATTTATAAAGCGGGATATTTCAAATGGGCAACATCTAAAGGCTGATTCTAAAGAGAGTTAACATCTCGGAGAGACGAAGAGCAAGGGAGCGGCTGACCAGACACAGGAACGAAGACACTTGCACAAGAGGTCGCTTGCACGGTTCGTCAGCTATCCAAACGAGAGACAGAGATGGACGGAGCAAGGAATCGTGCCTACATGATAACTTCACCAAACCAGAGGTAAAAACAGGAATAATGCCCCTAGCAACGAGAAATTTCTGACGAGCAAGGATACGCGTCCTCATAGTTAATGAAAAATAAATACAGCGAACAGACAAAGTTCTACAGAAATCAGTCTTTTTAGCGCATTTTCTCATTTATGGAAAAATGCCCTATTGTGCTCGTCATGTCCGTCCGTCCGTCCGTCTGTCTGTCCGTGACTACACGGACGGACGAGAAAGTGCGCTCTCAGTCACTTACTGCAGTGAGTACTGATCTAATTTTTTCAACTATAGCAACATCGATCTCGCCTTGAGTGAAACAATTGAGAAGGTAAATTTCTCACCCATAATACATATAGCTGTGAACATAGAAGTTACGTCATTGCAAATGATGGAGCCATCCTTAGGTACGTGACGCCGCAGCCAAGCATTGCACCGGGTCTGTTGTATCGTTGGAGCGATCATCATGTAACTGCAGGATGAGAATTCAACACTTTCAGCACATAAGAACACAGTCTTCTTTGCAGTAAAATAATATTTGAAGGCTGAGGTTTAAAACATTGTTGATTACTTGAACATTCACTAGCCATGAAATTGAATAAACTAAAGTTTAGTCTAAATCTTGATTTTCCTCAGGTCAACTTCAAAGCTCATTTCACGTATCAACAATTTTTAGCCATATTTATCCCTTGTATACACCTAGACGATGAAAATCAATTGTTCTTAACCAAAAGTTTATTGAAATAATTTAATAATCTCACTGATTGGGAGCAGTTCTGGCGAGGCTGCAATCATTCTCATAACCGCCCCACTGGTTCTGCAGGCCGGTGTGGATGATGCCACCTACTGGGATGTCTACGTCGTTGCTACACAAATACTGTAGCCAAGATACCACGCTCTCGTCTTGTGACTGCCAAACAAATTGAATACAAATGTGAATTTAGATTGAATAAATAAATCTGAACTATTTGAAAGTGGACAGTTTGTGACACATTCACGACCTACTGTGGTACTTGGTTTAATTTCTATTGTTGAAGCTTTAGTCTGAACAAAAATATTAAAAAAAAAAACAAGATACAAATGAGAAATAAGCAAAAATACATTTTCAAGTGGTACACACTCATACTTATATGGCTAAAAAGTATGTAGCTCATACTTCTGAGTCAACCAGTGGGTGAAATAACAATGGTCATGTATCAATAATATAAAGCGAATAAACAAATGCCATCAACAGTAAAGAAATATAAAACTATAAAACTAACGTAAATGTCAAATTTGCTGAAAGAAGAATAGTCCAATAATCCGCAAGTTTCCCTGCAGGCTTTATACTCCCGTTCTGTGAACTGGAACCACGGTGGCAGACTGAAGGAGTCGTTCTTTGTGGGCGTGAATGGAGCTTCTTGACGATCGTCTGCTCAACGGAGCAGTCATTAATGATAGAATTTGGTTGAGTAAATCTGACACTATTAATCGTTTTATCAGTATATCAAAAGGGGCACAGACCCTAGAACCATGATTTCTGATAATTTAAACGTATATCAAACTATATAAAATATATAGTTTAGACTGGATAATATCAGACTATAGAAAATAATATAGTTTACACTGTATAACATCAAACTATAGAAAAAAATATAGTTTACAAGTGCTGTATAATATCAAACTACAGAAAATGATATAGTTTAGACTGTACAATATAAAACTTTATAAATAATATAGTTAATATAGACTGTATAATATCAAACTACAGAAAATAATTTGCTGTCCACAATAATTGTGCATCTTATAATTTTAATAAATTCCTGGCGTTCAGAGTATGGAAGAATTACCAGAAGAATTGAGGTCCTGAAAGTAGCTGGGACGTTCGTAGCCCATGACCTGGCCGAAGACGGCGCCTTGCTGCTTCATGCGCGGGAAGATCGGCGACATCCGCAAGCAGCGCGCGGACTGGAAGTCCGGGAACGGGTACTGGATGTGGTAGTGAGCACCTGCACATATCATTACTAATTATATCTGCGGGAAATTCATACTTTTTAGCGCATTTCATTCTTTTCTCATTTATGGAGAAAAGGCGCTATAGTGCTCGTCATATCCGTCCGTCCGTGACGGACGGACGAACGGACGTGAGAAAATGTGCTCTCTGTCACTAACTGCAGTGAGTACTGATCTAATTTTTTAGTTGATTATAAAGCTAGAAGCTGGAACCATACCAACAAAATATAACTTCAATAGCGAGCAAAGGAGTGATTGATCAAATCACCTATAACATTTTATCGATGAAATCACACACGATGCATTTTTGCACGCAAAGTGGTAGAAACCCCATCAGAAACTTCAGTTACCAGGAACTTCCGTGACGCGGTCACTCAGGAACTTGTAGTTGTTATGGGCAGGCAGGAAGCGCGACACCTCGAGCTCGTATGCGTCCATGGGAGGCGCACCTTCCGTCATCCACACGGCCAGCATCTCCCCCAGCCCTAGCGCTGCATTGCTGCCGCCGTTCTTCAGGCCTGCCGCCACGTAGTAGTTGTCTACCTGGCATCACGGCAACTATGCCTTCAATAATGCAAAAGTTAAAGCCCTAACCATGTTGAGGGTAAACTTGCTTTGATTATGAATATTAAATATAAACCAGTAAACGAGGAACTTTGTTTTCATTATTCGTTAATGGGGTCTGAGGCCGAAAGGTCCCGTCAGTACACAAACGGTTAAATATTAACCTCAGCACTCATCCCCATGATCCATTTGCCGTCAGGGGAGTATCCACAGGGAGAGTTGTCGAGTTTCCTGAGGGTGGCTCTTGCCGCAGACGGCACACGGCGCAGGATTTGCGACAGCGCCGGCTGGAAGTGGTCCCAGTCCGGCCCCACAACACGGTCCGTTGGGGACCGCAAGTCTTAAATGAAAGAGAGTTCATGCCCATTCAGTTATTCACATTCCTTACACGAACATTTAACTAAGAAATCTTTACATACTGGAATAGCTATCATGGACAAACGGTCAACCAACATTAACTATCATCTTGAAGCTTGCATATTTCGACGTCATTGTTAAAATTAAAATTTATTTCAATTTAGCTAAAAACGGTCTAAAAACGCCAAGAGAACAAGGATAAATTAGAACCAACAAGGATATTTGTTGTGTAATGGTCAGGTAAAGTATAATATCCAGTGAAAATTTTTCAAATATGGATCATTAATATGTCTCTGCATCACGACTTTCAGCACGAGGCAGCCAACAGCATAAGCTTCTCAACAAAACACAGTATTTAAATTCCACTGCAACCTGAGGCCTAGATGACTGGAATGATTTGGCCTTAGGCCGCTGGGAGGTTGGCCTTGGCGATGTTAGTCCAGTTAGAAACGAACGAATATCCTAATTTTGCCACTTATTAATAAAGGTTCAGAAGGTACATCAGATGAGACGTAAAGGACCTAACCTGAGATGCCAGGCACGAGGGCAGGTATGGAGTTGAGTTCAAAAGTGCCAGCCATGAGGCCTCCACAATACTCCCTCAAGTAGATGCAGCCATCAGGGTCGCGTATTGCTGAAAAAAGGACACAAGTTTTGTGTGAGATTAAGAATTCCTAAAGACTTCACTGATGTAATAGTTTACAGTTAGTGCGCGCTTTTATATAACGCCCTATATCATAATTTAAAGAAAATGATACAAGTATATTAGTCACACACCAAAACCATCAATATTGAATGTGTTTAATAATGTTAAGCACGTATCAATGTAATTTCCTAAAATCATTAAAATTGAAAATCTGTATCAGGATAGAATTTTATTTCATTATGATATACGACTTGATCTTGATACGAATAAAGGACTGTAAAACGGTCACTATTAACCGCTCACCTGGCATTGTGAAATTGACATTGTCAAGAGGGAAGGTCTCAAGGCAATAGTGGTGGGCGGGATGTATGGGTACTCTAACGCACGGTTCACTGAGCAGACCGACGTGCCTGGCCCAAGTGCCTGCAGCATTGACAAAAATCTCGCACTCAATGATGCCCTTATTTGTCTCGACGCCCACCACGCGGTGATCTTTCACAACAACTTTGCTGAGTTCGCATTGCTCAACGACCTCAGCACCTGTAACAAGATGGGAAAATTACTATGTTTGTTTCACCGTTTGAATGCCATTCAGAGCTAAGCAACTAATCAACATCGAGAAGTACCATGAAACAAATTATTGATGAGATAAGAAGTGCCTGGGAGATGAAACGTGAGAACAATATTGAATTCTGGTCTCAAACATTTGGTTGAGTAGCAACGGATAATTGCTACTGAGAGATAAAAACAAGGGATAAAAAATCTGGTATGATTCATCGAGAAATAAATCACTAATAGACCCATTTTATTGGCGAGCTGCATGAGAGTGCGAGTGAGCTTGTAAGGATGGCAAACGCCATCATGAGGCACCCACATTCCCCCCACTAAGTCATCAGTGTTGAGAAGTGGGCATAGATCCTTTACTTCTTCAGGTGATAGCATGTGACATTCAGTGCCACGAGCTCTGCACAGATAGAATAATGGCACATAACATATGAAATGCAGTAGCTGCTGTGATTTATCTAAGGAATTTGCGCCTTGATTAATTTATTTGTGCCAGCACCAATGAGGGATTAACGGGCTATGACATAGAAACTCAGAATATTGAAAATTATGGCAAAAACTCCCCTAGTTTGTCTGAATAATCGTGAGAAGAAATCTTTTAATTAAATGGATGATAATCAAATGTTTATAAACACATCATAAAACTTACTGAGAAATTGCTTTCTTTTTCCTGAAGTAGGTTAGTCTTGGTTTGCAACGTGCTAAGTGAAGAGAGCCGGTCTGCTGCCACCCTGTGTCATGCCCCTGTTCACTGAGCTCCTGCACCAAAGCCTGAGTTCTTATTTGTGTCTGCATCTCCACTTTGCTTAGCTTCACACCTCCTAGGAATCCAGAGCCTCTCCACGAAGTTTCACTTCCAAGACTGCAAAATCACAAATATAGAAGTGTTTTTTTACAAGGAAACTGTTATTAAATAAAGTATTTTAAGAAAATCTTTTGATAATCCATAAATGCAATGAAACTTACAACTTACTAAATATTGAAGGTTTTTTATTTGATTAGAGTAGCAAAGTTAAATGTAGTAGAGAGATTCAAGTACTTAAGTCAGTGATTAGTTTATTGACATAATATAAATAGTTGAGCATGATAATTATTTTAAATTACTTCTCTTTATCAATAAGAACAACATCATTGGCCCAGCCAAGTTTTGCCAGATGATAGAGGATGGCAGTGCCAACCATTCCTCCACCGCACACCACAACCCTTGCATTCTTTGGGGGTGTTGAGCTGATGTTCACCAAATCACTTAGGCATCCTGCACAAATAGAAAATACATCAGCCTATCATATAGTGTTATTAAATATTATAATAATATTGCAAAATTTCTTAGCATTTTTTATACAGGAGATGACTTAACCTTGTTGTATAGTTTCTCACAGCATCAGCAGGCAGTGTCCAAAGTGTAAAGCTAGAGATTAATATAAGAAAAAAAAAACTAGAACAAAAGGTTCAAATTTAAAAATCAGGCAAAAACCATCCATGTGCAAGACCAAAATGCCTGAGATTGCGGTAAATTGAACCCATTTTTATGCCCCGTGAATGATTCCAATATAAAAATGATGAAAACCATCACATTTTTACCTGCAATTTGTAACAATTGCATTATGAAATATTTCTTTACACATGATATAGTTATGGGAAATATTGTCTAATATTCCAGTCATTTCCAGATAAGCAAATTTTAAAGATTTTAAGATGCATTAGCTATTAGTAATGTAATTTTTAATTTAGAGATAATTTCAATCTAAGTTCAGCGTGAGGCCGTGAGCCTTTGCAAAGGCCAAAGAATTCCTGGTTAAAAGTTTCAAATGCTCTGAAATTATATTGAAAAAAAAAATAATTGATAATTGTACACATGAAAATACAGTGATCTTGGAAAAATATTTTTTCATTTCTTATTATATTTTAGCCTGACCTCAGACTGAGAGTAGCAAGAAACAGAAAGTTTCTAATAAACTAATAAAGGTGGTAAAATCAGAAGAGTAAGGCCTAAGGGTGCTAACCATAGTTTGTTGACAAGTAATCATCACCAAATTCCAGACCAAACGGTGGGCCAAAGCCTCCACTGCCAGCGCCAGATGCCCCATCTTCCAGTTTTACCGAGTTGGTGTGAAATTGAAGTCGGGACAAGTGCCTACAAGGCTCATATGAAAGAAGTTTACAGCAATTTACCGCACGGTGAAAACCATTGAAGTATTTTATATTGAATGATAAAGCCATATTAGAATTTGTTACTGATTTCAATTTGCATATATGTATTTTTAAAATTGATCTTAAGACTTCGGGTATGAAGAGATCACACCTCGCAGCACAACTTGATTGTGCATATATGCCATGTTTGGCAGGAAAACGAATGTTTTTGTTATTGTTGACAGGTTGGTCCGTGTTTCATCCAAATTCCGCATCACAATAATTTGAAAATTAGACCAAATGCTTGAAACAGTTTCATATGCTTTTCATTAATGAGGCTGATTTTTGCCGAAAGAATTTTTTTCATTTATTGAAAGTATTTCCCTCCGTCCGTCTGCCCGTGACTTCACGTTTTCGTTGACGATAAAATGCGCTCATTGTCACTCACTGCAGTGAGTACTGCGTTATATTTTTTTGTGTATACCTAACTTATTTATCGCATGTTAATGCAAGTAGTTCGACATGGCACCGGTTACATCTTTGTTTAATTTTCACTACAATTATAGAATCTGTTGGCCTAGACGCAACATAAAATTAAGCAAACTCTATTAGCACAATCTAAGGCTGCGTACCACAGGCCAATTGTTTTGTATAAGTTTTGACCGCTTCAGAATAAATTATCGAACAGGACTAAAAATGCTCTTACCTCCATTGATGCAGAGTTTGAGAAATTCTTATAGAAAATATCTGTTTCTGCAAGCAATAACCTAATTTTGAAATCAGTATCCAAGATTAAAGAGATGTGAGATTGAAATCAGTATCCAAGATTAAAGAGATGTGAGAGTGAAATCAGTATTCAAGATTAAAGAGATGTGAGAGTGAAATCAGTATTCAAGATTAAAGAGATGTGAGAGTGAAATAATTAAATGGAATAGCGGCCTTGCAAAGCGCATTAAAAAAAATATTTTAGACACAAATGACGGAAAATTCCTGCTAAATCATTGCCGTTGTGATTCCATGCCTTCTTTCTGCATAGTTTTTTTTTGTCTTATTCGAATTTCTAAAATTTAATGTAATTTATTGAGATCTATTACTACATTCAGTTGAGAGCAGCTTCATGAGATGCACATTAATTACAGTTTTTTTATCAAATCTATCTTTACCCGAAATCATGAATTCACATTGATTTTTTTATAATTTTTCATATTCTTCAATATTGATTTACCAGAGTTTACTGCAAATAATTAAGAAAATTAGAACATGTCACGTGACTAAATGGTAAACATGTGACTACGCAAAGTCATGCCGAGGACGATGTTTTAGATATGTTCTTATCAAGAAGAGGGCGCCTTATCAGAGAACGACCATACGGATTACCCAACATGGTCGACACATTATATCGTTCACCATCATAAACAGTGAACATCGAGATCTCCTATTGCTATATTAAGTTCAGTTGACTCTATTATAAATTATACCAGTACAGGTGAAGTAACGGAAGTTTATCGCATTGTGCAAAATGAGTGAAGTTTTCGTTTATTAGAAACGAAAGAATTTTAGACTAGAGTACGATGCAAATTTTGATGGCATTGGTCACGGACAGACGGACAGATGGACAGACAGACAGACAGACGGACATAGCGAGCACAATAGTGCATTTTTTCCATAAATGAGAAAATGCGCTAAAAAGACGTGTCAAGGAGCGCGCAGGAAGGTAATTGAAAGATTTTAAATTAGTCTCTAAATAAAAACAATAAATTATGTTCTGATTATGTTTTCAGTAAATATCCCCACGGGACGGTAAGCTACACCCGAGACAATGAAGATGTTTTTGCTGCTCGCGACGGCCGTGCTGGTCGTGGTCACGGTCGGGGCTGACACTAGCGGTCCTCTCAAAACGCTGAGCGCTGTGCATCACGGGTAAAATGCTCTCATTGTTATAATTATAAATTATTATCTCTTGATACTCCATATTAAACTTTAATTAGAATATTAATGTTTAGAAAACGACACAGAAATTCATCATCTATCTCAATCAATCGTCAGTTATGGAAAGATTGGGTTCCAAAGGCCGGATCCCTTGTGAATCAAGTCACGAAAAATTCCAGAATCGGCAACAGGCCATGGGCCTATTTCGTCAGTGCCCACACTTCTATTCTATTCTATCATATTCAAAGTGAGGAAATTTACCTTATTTTAACGTATCCGAAAGCAGCTCTAGCATCAGTCCAAAAATTCAACAGTATATGTATAATAAATTCTTAGAAAAAAACTATATGTTGAAGCCGAAATTTACCAGTAAAAGACAGAGTACCGGGAGATGGCCAGACGCTGACTAAATTTATATCAACAGTATCGCGTGGATTGGAACTAAAGTAACTTCTTACTTCATAAATTCGAATTAATTTATAAACTTCTTAGCTGTTCAGTAATTTTTTTGAAAAATTATGACCTGTATTAAACTACATTTGATTTATACATTGACAAAGAACTTAATTTTCTATTGAACGTTTCATTTAATTGTTAATTTTTATCACCCTTGGCAAACTTTTTTTCTATTATTGTTGTCGAAGTTTAATTGCAACTTCGTTTAAGTCAATCCCTTTTGTAGATTTGAGAAACTGTTAAGTTTTCGTCCATGAAGCTGAAATCAATTTCAAAAGCGATGGCTCGTGTTAATTTTAGCGATTATAAAATGATGTTATAATGCACATCTTCCCTTTTCTATGGCGGAGTACAGCGCTGATGTGAACGGAGCTGCGAAGGCCGCCCTCTTCCGTTCGGTAAGACTTCGCTAGGAAAATTATAGATTAAACTAACTCACATATATAAATAATAATACTATCATGCATAAATAATAATACTCATAAGTATATATGCAATTTTTAGTCGATCTTTGGCGTAAAGGGCTTTTAATAAAAGTACTCTGAAACTTAATTTATTTTGTATGTTTTTTTATGTGACGATGCAGGATCAAGATTTCGAGTGTTTATCTGATGATCTAAATGTTTAATTAATTATTTTTAACTTAATTTTAAACGTTCAAGTTTTACCATATACGAATAAGACTAATGAACGAAAGAAGTACGCACCGTTGAACATTGTACAGTGTTTAAGTTCTTCTTCTGAGTTCAGGTAAATTCTTTTGATTTTCAAACTGTAACTCGAAATTTTAGTCTAATATACTTAGGTATTATCAATCAATGTTCACAACAAAAATTTTGGAGATCCAAAGACTATAATACTTTTATTTAATTTTATGTTAAATATTCCCTTTTTGGACATCAATGGGTGGAGCTTATTCACTTCCGTCACTTGTTGGTGAACAGAAGAATAAAATATTTTGTTCTCATAAATCTCAATTTAAAGAGATCATGAATGGTTATCATTAATTAATATTTAGTCACTAATTAATCTTAGGTCGTTTATCGGTCACTAATTAATGTTTTAGAAAGTATAATTAGCACTAAAAAGCTAATTACTATAACCACTTCCACAGGCCTACATGGAATCACTGCCCATACTTGACACGGAAATAATTTAAATTAAATACCTATAAATAAAATTAAATACCTATAATTAATACTACAAAGCTGATTACTAACTGCTTCCACAGGCCGACCTGGTATCACTGCCCATACTCGACCCGGAAATTATTTAAATTGAATAGCTATAAATTAAATTAAATACCTATAATTAACACTACAAAACTAATTACTAACCGCTTCCACAGGCTGACACGGAAAGCATCAAACACAATTCGCTCCACATGCCTGACGATGACTCTTTTCTGTACGTCGAGCTCCTGGAAGCTACCATGGACCCAGACTATGGTGCTGGTAACAACACAGATGATGGTGGTATAACGGCTGGAGGAATAGCAAGCATAGTGGCTGTGTTGATGGTCATATTAGCTTACGCGGCCGCCTTCCTCTTTCATGTCATCAGGGAAAAACTTTATACGCGATGGTTTTAATACAAGTAGAAAAAAATATAACTCAGTACTCACTGAAGTGAGTGACAGAGAGCGCATTTTCTCGTCGACGAAAACTTGAGGTCACGGACTGGGTGTCGTTTAAGTCGTTTAAATTTTCGCTGTTTTGAGCGTTCATGAAGCAATCTAGACAAAAATTAAAAAAAATTATCGTTGAATCCTTTAAAGAACTGAGTGCAATAGAAACATTTCCGTATAAAGCCGTGCATGTTGATGTTCCCGTAAACTTTTGTTTGAAATTTTTGCATTGGTATTCATGCTATAACTATTGAATGTCACTCTGATTCATACAGAGTATCTAATAGTCTTGAATAAATTTATTTATTCTCTCACTCTAAAGTAAAATGCCAGTCGTAATAGAATTTCATCCGTCAGAAAATACAAATAAAAATTTTAAATTAAACTAAACTCTTTCGTATCATACTTGATCGGAAAATGACGCTGTGAAAATCAGGTCTATTTATATGGAATATTATCCAAGTGAAATCCAGATTCATTTATACCGAATACGATTATACCAAGATTTGATTACCGCGAGATAGAGATGCAACATGCGTTCCAAGGGGAGAAACTAAAATAATTTATCAGGGCATTTTTAACTTTAACTTAACTTAAACAAGGACATTTAAATATGATTGAATTTATCTAAAGAAACATTTGGAATGAGCAAAATACTAAGTTATTTCACTACGAGTGTTAAAAATGGGTAAAACATTTTCCAAAAATGACTATTTATATCATGTCCAGGAGAAAATGAATGATTGGAAATTAAAATTTTCAGTCATTCTTGAATAATAGCTTCTATAGCAAGACGTTTTCTTTATCATTTGAATCGTAGAATAAAACACCCACATGCATTATAATACAATTTGGTGAGAGTAAAACCAATTTTTGCAAGCTATTGAAAAAACAATTTTTAACAAAACATTACGCCCAACATTCTACGTTCATTACATTTTATAATGCATTTTTCATTTAACGTTTTGTAACCATGTTTTAGTTTGTTTTTTAGTAAACTAAAAAAGCAGGTTTCTATCGAACGTCGCAATGCCGTAACATTTGAAGAAATAACGATTGAAAGTTCACTTAATAAATGATATTGAAGGTAAAAATTGAGTTTACTTCTTTCCCTGCAGTAACTATCTCAACAAAATGATGCAATATTGAATCGTCGGACATTTATATATGGCATGGAACTCTAATCTAAATGGTACTGAATTATCCCTGTGGGTATCGATCGCTTGCCCAGTTAAATTCTCATATCNACCAAACATAAAAAATTGATATTACTGGAATAGTTTATCTATGGATCCATTTATTGTACATTTTGGCATCCAAATTCTGGCAGTCTTACTTGGCCTTTATATTAAGGTTTTTGAAATGTTTTTGATGTCTTGATCTGGGAATTAAAAAAAAAACACATTCAAGATTTACAGAGAAGTTTTTGGCATTGAAATTTGATGCTTATCAGTTCAAAATTTTTCTTTTAAGAAATTGTTTGAAAATTTTCTTAAATTTTTCAATTATTTTGAAATTTTTCTTCAATTTCTTTTGAAATTTGATGCTTATCAGTTCAAGCTGTCATCTGATAAGCAAAGCGGCTCGTTGCACAAAAATAGTTTCGCTCTGATAGCACTACGTAAATTTAGGAAATTTCCTTGAAGTTAGTTTTTTCTTACTAAAGTCTCCTTGAAATTTTGACTGATTATTCATTAGCATAGTTTTTGTTCTAGTCAGTGTTTGATTAAAAGCACCCTATAGCACGGATCTGAGGTAAGGGGCCATACTTTCAAAACTCGCTAAGTGAACGTAAGTACTAGCGCTCTATTTTCTTGTCTATGATTGGTGGATTTTGCTTGAAAGGCCGTCAATGATTGGCTGATTAACTTACGATCTCTTAACTTTTTTTTTTGAAAGTATAGGCCCGGGTCAATTTGCTACTACCAGTTGAATAAGTGATTGATAATAAATATGATATATGTTATGAAGGCACCAAATAGTTTTGCAGTGTTCCTAACGCCTCACGTTCACTTCCATTGTTATATTATTTGTTAAAACTTCAACCTTACTTAAAAATAGGTAATATATGTATTTTATAATAACAAAAAATAATCGTGTAATTATAATAACAACAAATAATCGTCTAATTATAATAACAAAAAATAATCTTCTAATTATAATAAAAAGATTTACTATTATAGTGTACCGACAGCTAGGCACGTTCAAGGAATCAATAAACTTTGCAGATAAGTCATCTTCAATCACTGACAGTGAAGCAAACTCGGTTTGCTTTCAACTTATTGTTATAATGCGCCACGTTTTTTATAAAGTTAATAAATTATAATATCATATGATAATGATAAGAATGGAAATGACATTCTCATCCTTATGATCAACTTTTCCCGGTAAAACTAAAATATTTTTACATGCATGCATGACAAAAGTTCCACCACTTAAACCGTCGCTGACAAAGTGACAGTTTCTGACATATCAAGACGCAGTCTATATAAATTAATGAAAAATATAACTCAGTACTCACTGCAGTGAGTGCCAGAGAGCGCATTTTTTCGTCCGTCCGTGACGTGAAGTCACGGACGGACGTGACGAGCACAATAGCGCCTTTTTTCCATAAATGAGAAAATAGTTAAGATCTTATACCTAAAAAGGGATAAGATTTGAAATGTGTCATCAAACTTCATGATTATAGAAAAATGAATCAGTATAAGAGGCAATAAATTCAATTATTTCATTATTTGGGTTAATTTAATTATTCAAACTGTTAAGACTTACATAAGCCTGAGATTTACACACTCTTAACATTTACATACTATCAAGATTTATATAATCTCAAGATTTATATATTTTTAAGTTTCACATCCTCCTAAGATTTAAACAATCTAAAGATTTACAAGCTCTTCATAAGATTTACATACTTTTAAGACATACGTATTCCAAAGATTTACCTACTCTTAAAATTTACATACTATTAAGATTTACGGGCTCTAAAGATTATACACTCTTAAGATTTATATGGTCATAAGATTTACATACTCTTATTATACACACACTCTTAAGATTTACGTACTCCTAAGATTTATATAGTCTTAAGATTTACATACTTTTAAGATTTACAAACTCTCAAGATTTACATACCTTATGATTTACATACTCATAAGATTTACGTACTCTTAAGATTTATATAGTCTTAAGATTTACATACTCTTATGATTTACATACTCTTACATACTTACTTTAAGAAAGTATACTCTTCAGATTTACATACTCTTATGATTTACATACTCATAAGATTTACGTACTCTTAAGATTTACATACTCATAAGATTTCCATACTCTTAACTTTTACATACTCTTAAGATTTACATACTCGTGCGATTTATATTTTCCTAAGATTTTACTCTACTGTTTCCAATATTTCTCCACAGACTTTAAATCACGGAACCGTGCAATCCATTGGAGTATTTAACCGTAAGTAAATTTGTTATCCATATTTTGTGACTTCTTCACATAATTTCCCCTCAATTTTGTGCTGAATTGCGTCACGATTGCCAGTAATGGATTGCCAGTAATGGATTGCCAGTAATGGATTGCCAGTAATGGATTGCCAGTAATGGATTGCCAGTAATGGTTATGTATGTTTCATGCGTTGTTCAAACCATTGTTGTCGTTGTACAGCTAAGTATAAAATGTTTGAAATAATTCTTATCAGGACCATAACAAAAAAGAGAAATTTTTTGGTTCATTAGCTTGAAAGTGGCCATGAATATTTATGATAACTTTGAAAAAACGTCTACTCTGTATGATATTTAATATTTTATTATATGGGCTTGCAAGATACGAATTATTTAAATCAATCTGAGAAACCTATATGAAGAAACGTAAACAACTTGAGCTCAGAATCTTTCACTGCAAAGATATTATCTTAGACATTCGATGAAAGAGAATTCACTTCAATTCACTTGAGTTTGGTAACAACTATAAATGTCATTCAAACGATCCCAATCAAGGTAATTTACAACACTTTTAAGTTAACTGAGTTATAACACAATGCCATTAGTTACTCCCAAAGTATGTATGCTTCTGGTTATGGTAAGTAAAGTAGCACAAAATAACTCTCAAAGTAAGTCAAAAGATCTGAATTTAGGTTTGTAATTCCTAGTAACTCAAATTATTTTTATTGTAAGGCCAGTGATCTGGATTACTACCGCTGAACGGAGTAGCTTTGAATTATATAACAAAATCGCTTTTGTTAATATAATTAAAGCGGAATGAATACTTACGAAGGCATGAAAATTAGGTGCTACTCGAATTCAAGATTCATTGCATGTATGATAGCCTTACAGAATTACATCTTACAGTAGGAATAATGAACATTTTTGGCTTCTCTAAGTGGCCCAAAATGTTGTAGTGGCATTATATTAATATAAATTATATATAATGAAAGAATATTTGGTACTGATATCGATTCATGATGTCCATGAGGCGCATTCTTTGATTAAGATTCCTGTTATCTATTTTTATCACGCCTAAAATTGAGTGTGCATCTCACGTCATGTTAAGTCTTAGTTACAGAGAAAACATCGTGTCATGTGTGTGATCGCGTCATTGTAATTATCGTGTCATGTGTGAGACATGCATAATGATATTGATGATAATGAACTGATTTCTCTGTACTTCAGCCTGAGATCTCAAACTCGTTCCTCACTTCTTCACTGCACTTTCTCCGCGGTGCACGGTCAGAACTTTGTCTTCGTATAGGTGTTTATTTTGTCCTCTACATTGAATAATTATTTAACAGTCACACTTGTATTCTTAGTCACATTTTATTTCGAAATATACTAAAAAAAAGTGAAACAGAGACTCTGTAACTCTTGGCCTCCCAGAATACTGCTGCAACAGAGACCCTGCAACTCTTGGCCTCACAGAATACTGCTGCAACAGAGATCCTGTCACTGCCTTTTTTCAGGTGAAATCCTATTCACGTATAAGAAGGAGAAAATAATATCACATAATTTCAGATATCAGGAAAATAGTTATAATAATAATTTCGAAACATACTTAAAAACTACAGTGACAATGGAGACCAGAGTGAAGCTGTTGAACCACATGTTGGTGCTTGTGGTGGTGATGCTGGCGTTGAACGTGTCGCGACGAAGATGTCTAAGGTAAGACTATATAATTTAGATCTATGTTAATTTTTATAAGCAAATAATATCATTTATATCTTCATTATAACCTCTTTGCACACTGCTGATGAAATGCCATTTAATATATTAAAAATTTTCATCGCGTTGTTTTGGTTTCAGTGCGACTTGCGGAGGCCGTACTGAAATTCATTGAAACATTTTTTTCGAGTTTCTGAAATAATAATCAATGAATTGAAAAGAAAATAGTTATAATTTATATAATTAAGTTACTTATAATTAACCTACTTATATAAAAATTTGAGAAGAAATACGCTTTAATAAATTTAATCAAGAAAAATAAAATAAATCCTGTCTAAATCAATTTAGTATCATAATTTTATAGTTAAATAAGTAAAAGCCAGTTGCTTTTCATTTGAACTCAGGTTGGAAGAACATATAATTTATATGTTCTATATCTAACATATCTAATATATCTAATTTATATGTTTATATATAATTTTAACTATTTGTTTATATATGTTTATATTTAGTTTTATATAATTCTTCTTCCAACTCAGGTTGGAAGAACATATAATATATATGTACATGTTATATATAAATTTTAAATATATGTTTATATTTAGTTTTATATAATTGCTCTTCCAACTCGGGTTGGAAGAGCAATTACATAAAACTAAACACGCAATATCACGCATAAATTGTAACATTGTGTCTCTAACCTTGTTATCTGTATGATCCATGTTCACAGGGCCAATCCAATTGAAGACTTGCGCAGTGGTTTCGAGTTGTCCGCAAATAATGGGGTGAGTGTGTGGCAAAAACGACATGTGTACGCTTGCTGATTAATTCTTATCTCAAATAACTATTTTAATGCTTGGTATCTTGCTCTAACATATTATTCGATGGGATGAATTTCCATGGACAGTTATTTTTAATATTATGCATTTGAGAAGGTAAGATTGTTATCATTATTATTATCATTATCGATTAATAATATTATGCATGTGCATGATAAGAAGGTAAGATTGTTAGCATTTTTAATATCATGATAAATTATTAATATTATGCGTGGTAAGAAGGTAAGATTGTGAGCATTATTATTATCATGATAGATTAATAATATTATGCCTAGTAAAGCGGTAAGATTGTTAGCGCTATTATTATCATGAAAAATTATTAATATTATGCACAGTAAGACAGTAGTATTTAAAACATTATTATTACAATTATTTTCATTTTCTACGGCCACAAACGGAAGGCACGTCTGTCAAAGCGCAAGCCATCCGGGAAAGAGTATCCGGTTTTCAGTATCACGTACAGAAATTGTTGCTGTAATTGAATAATTGGGAAGGCAATTACGACATTAATTGATGCCGCTAATGGCTTATCTGACATCGACGCTTATTTAAAAGCAGTTACNAATTACGACATTAATTGATGCCGCTAATGGCTTATCTGACATCGACGCTTATTTAAAAGCAGTTACAGTGAAGCTTATGGAAACCTAGTTATTTAAAATTCTTTCAACATCTGAATATAGATTAACGGAGGTTTTTTCCTTTGTTCTTCAATGAGAAGAATAACAATGGAGTTGATTGTAATAGATTTTAGTTCCAAATGTGGATAAAACTCATAATTCATTTTAATTGTAGGCAGTAAAAACTATTACGAGGATATATGATAGCAGTAAATTTTTTACTAAAAACCAATGTTCACTTAAAATTCATTCAAAATTTTAATCTAAAGTAATTTTTAAATAATCTTCCGTTATTACATTTATCTTTAAATAATCTTCCGTTATTACATTTATCTTTAAATAATCTTCCGTTATTACATTTATCTTTAAATAATCTTTCTCCGCCATGCGTGCGCAGGTCAACAACAAATTCCATGATGAGCTCATCAAAGAACATCGCGCCATGGAAGCTCTCAACGAACTTCAAAACGAGGTTATCATTTCTGCAGAGGGTGAAGAAATTTTTGCAGAGGCGGAATGGAATAACAACACCCAGGATACAACTGGCACATACACGGATCCAACCACCATGGCTGCAACTGGAACGGGCACAGATGGAACACAGGAAACAACTCCAGCCTCAGATGCAACCCCGGAAACAACCACTGAAGCCATGGGGACAGACCCAAGCAACCCTCCTGACGAAGGCTTGTCCGGAGGAGCGATAGCTGGCATTGTAATAGGTTGTTTGGCTGTAGTGGCACTGGTGGGCGGAGGAGTTTACTACATGTACACTAAGAAAATGTACTGCTTTGAGTAGCCCAAAACAAATTTATCTTCATTTGTAGCGTAATTCATGTTGAGTAACGTCTTGAAGCATTTCGTCCTTAGTTACTATCCTAGTAGGCGTTTAGGCCACTTTTATACTAGTTCACGATGTAATCATACGTAAAGCTGGTCATAGTTGCACATACCTTTTTTAACCTTTTTCATTTCATAGTGACATTTTTAGATCATACATGGGTATTGCGTCATCCATGGGTGTTATGTCATCCGTGAGTGTTACGTCATCCGTGGTTGTTACGTCATGCATAATTACGTCATCCATGGGTGTTACGTCATCCATAAATACGTCATCCATAAATACGTCATCCATGTATTCCGAGCACGAACTGAGCTTGCAATGAATATGGAGTAAAAATCAGGATCAGGATGAATCTCACGAGATGTCAAGACAACACCGGCTACACATGTAAGAAGTCACATATGTATTACCAGTTTTATTTGTGTTTACTACCTAAAAATCACGGGGACGTAAATTGTACCTGTTGAAATTCAGATGCCATTTTTTGATTGTTTTCATAACTTAAATGAAGCGCAATGCAGTAGATGTGTAACTCAGTGAGTTAGAACCTCTTACGGGGCCCAGCAAGTTAAGTTACTTGCAGAGCATCAATTAGCTAGAGAATCAGTGTGGTGCGAATTTTCTCTAAAAGGCAAAGATAGCCTCCTCATTTGGGTCCTTTATAGATCACCAAACAGTTCTTCTGCTGACAATAAAGTACTAAACAGTCTTTTACCGAGCATGACTATCAGCAGGTCGCATACGTTGATTGTTGTTGCCTTCAACACGTTGACTGCGTACTACGAATTACATTTCTCCAGGACGTAGTGGTACATATTGAAAATAGTCCAAAAAATGAAATAACAGTAAAAATGAAGCAATCGGAGTCAAAATGTTAACCATCTAAGAATAGACTGGGCAGATGAATCCTCTCCAAGAGATGGGAATCACCCAGCCTCCTTGTTCTTGGAGTCTGTATGAGACTCATTTTTAATCCAAAACATCACCAAGCCAGCCCATTTTAGGGGTAAACAGACCCCAAATATTCTAGATCTAGTGTTTACTAGTGAAGAATCAATGTTAGGTGAGCTTCGTCATGAGTCTCTATTGGTCAAAATCCACCACCAAAATTTATTTTTCACTATTAAGTGGCATCCAGAAAAGATGCCCCGGAAGCGCAAACGTCTGAACTTTGCGAAAGGCGACTACGTAAAACTCCGTGATGCAGTGAGTGCGGCGAATATTTCGGACGGTATTAAGGACATGAATGGGGACGATTCATGGTCATTTCGCAAAGACAAGGTTACGTCTGCAGTCGATGCGTGTTAAGCTCGGTGGAGTTAAATAGTCACAGTGGATGAACAGTGCAGCTATAGCTAAGCTAAAGTCCAAGAAGGAAGCCTACAAACGTTATTTACAGACTCGTAGCGATGCTGATTCTAACCTGAATGTAAGAGTTCAAATCAAGCAAAAAAATCTGTCGCATCGCGGTAAAGAACTTTGAAAATAATATTGCGAAAAATGCTAAAAATAAATCCGAAAGTGTCCTTTTTGTACGCTAGTTTGAAGTGTAGGACGAATAACGGTATATTTCTGATTTGAAAGCAAATCAACGAAAGATATCCTCTGATGAGAGCAAGGCTAACGTTCTTAATCAGTTCTTTAGCAGTGTGTTCACAGATGAGGACTTGAACAGTATTCCAGCTACTGCAAGGAGCGCCCAGAATGTAGACTCGAAGTTAACGGGTTTTGAAATACACGAAGTAGAGGTTCTCAAGCGCCTGGTGGCTCTTAATCCCAACAAGTCATGTGGACCAGACGGCTTCCACCCCAGATTGCTCAAAGAATTAGCAACCGTGACGGATAGACAGACGGACATGGCGAGCACAATAGTGCATTTTTTTCATAAATGAGAAAATGCGCTAAAAAGGCGACAAGAGTAGCTCCTGTAACTATCTTCCTATCAGTCTCACAAGTGTTGTTTGCAAGGTAATGTTGTCGATAGGATTATCGATCACTTGACTGTTAACAATCTCCTATCAGACAGTCAACATGGCTTTATTGCCGTAGATCCTGCACCACTAACCTCTTGTCTACTCTGAACGAATGGACCCGCCGGCTGGACGACAGGGAGCCAGTGGATGCATTGTACCTCGATTTGCCGAAGCATTTGACAGTGTTCCACATGAGCGGCTGTTGCGTAAAGTGAAGCCTTTGGGGATAGAGGGAAACGTACCCCATTGGATCAGAGATTTACTAGTAGATAGACGACAACGTGTCGGTATTAATGGGTCCTTATCAGACTGGGCTCCAGTGCGCAGCGGCGTGCCACAAAGAAGCGTTCTTGAGCCTGTTTTGTTCGTTATTTTGAATGAACTGCAAGAAGTAGTCTACGCACTTGCAAAATGATCTTGTCGAAAGTGTCTAAATTTGAGTACATCTCCTTTCCAAATGTAATGGCAACTTATTGGGAAGGTTCAAATTATTTTCGCTACCATAACATTTTAAAATTTAACGCAGCCATTCAGCGGCCAGGCAGGTCGCGACTTTGCTTAAACGATTTTTGAGGCTCTCCCTTCACCGAAGCCGAAGTAGGGCAGTGTTGGCCGCTAACACACAGATTATCTTCATTCACCATCCTTGCTACTTCCACCTGTGTCGTTCACGTTGCCAACCTTTGTGCCCATCCGTGCGTCGGATTTTCGTCTTGTGTCTCCGTAGGAATGATGGAACTTGATGGTGGTAGTGCACTACCATATACTAGACGACTCCATACCTGGGTCCAGAAGAGCTTGCTCTTCTATTTTGAAGCCGTAAGTCGCTACCCTACACTGCTGTGCCGTGGTTCAGTGACTGCTTCTTGAAGTGCCTTTAGATCGATTTGCCAAGTTCATCAAAATTAATGACATACATCTGGCTAAATTTTGTCTTCATTCTAAATTAACCAATTATACCTCATTCCCCATTAGTTGCCTATTTCCTAGAGTTAAACTGATAATTATGTGAATTATAGCTGATTTAAGTTGATAAGTGATAATTGATTAAAAATGAAAATGATTAAAGCTGATAATTGATTAAAACTGATGATTGATTAAAATTGATAATTGATTAAAATTGATAATTGATTTAAAACTGGTAGTTGATTAAACCTGATAATTGATCTAAAACTGATTATTTACTAAAACTGATAATTGATTTAAAGCTGATAATTGATGTAAAACTGATAATTGATGTAAAACTGATAATTGATTTAAAACTGATAATTGATTCAAATTGATAATTGATTAAAATTTATAATTGATTAAAATTAATAGATTAAAATTGAAAATCGATTATAATTGATAACTGATTATAAGTGATAATTTATTAAAATTTATAATTGATAAAATTGATTACTGTAAGGGATAACTGATTACTAATTTATTTCTCATATTTTACTTGGTCTTGACCGCAGTCTTATTCTATCTAGGAAGAGTGTCCTGACGAGATAGGTCGTGTGGAAGAAGGGGTGGCGCAGCTTGGTTGCCCCTTCCGTGGACGGCTCCAGCGATTTAGTTAATCTTCTTTTCAATAAATTCCTAAAAAGATTTATTAATTGCTCGATCGTTGTTTTCCTGTCCTCGCCACGACATTATTTTCATAAAATCTTGACAGTTTAGTTAATTGCTCTGATATGTGGTCGCTGCGTTTTAATGCTGACAAGTGTTAAGTACTTCACCTCGGGAAGAACAATGAACAGCAAGCTTACAGTACAAGAAGACACGGTTGCAACAAGAGAGTAATGATTGAAAAGTCTAGTGTGGAAAAAGATTTGGGAGTTTATTTCGAGAAGGAGCTGTAATTTTATAGGGCATATTGAAACGCAAGCTACTGAATCCAATAAACTTCTTGGATTGGTCAGACCATGGTTGAACTAGTATAGTTCAACCATGAATTAGTATAGTTCAACCATGGTTCAGACGCTCTTTCGAGTTCCTAGATGCAGAAGCGATGAAGCAGTTGTTTTTCGCTGTCGTGCGCCCGAACCTAGAATTTGGAAACGCCGTTTGGCCACCGAAACTTGAACAGAACAAAAATTCAGTAGAGTGTTCAAAGACGCGCAACAACAAAGATAATTCCAGGCTTGAAGGGCAAATCTTACGAAAAAATATTAAATGTTATGAATCTTCCAAGCCTCTGTTATCGACTTCTTCGCGGTGACTTCATTAAAGCATACAAATATAATCATGACTTATACAAGGTCCAAGAAAGATTACTGAAATTTGAAACAAGAACCAACACCAGGTGTTACGAATATAAACTAAAAATAATGCGTTGCAACTCATCCACGCGACATCAATTCTTAATTCTCGATGCGTCACCGACATGTAGAACAGCCTCCCTGATTACATCGTTGGCGCTCAGAGTATGAACGCGCGTGAGTCAGTTCAAGGAGCTAAAAATCAAACTCATTGTCGTGTAAAACATTGCACAACTAACATTTTATACTTTTCTTTCTTTTGGCATTATGGCTAACTTGACCCTAGTAAAATGTTAATTGATATGAATCTGGGAATGTAATCTAAATTTACTTCGATTCAACATGGATTAAACTATAAAAAAAACTTTCAACTCACAAACGTGTTCATTTCCATTTTGCATGAATGTGAATGGAACTCAACTCTGCCTGGTGCAATTTAGTTTTCTGTATTAAAATTTCATTCATCATCGTCATAATGGCTCAAATAAAAATAAATTTTGTTGGAGAAAGCTTGCTCCAATGATACGTATAACTTCTGCGTGGGTAGGAGTTTTTTCAAACACCATGTAAAACTCATAGACTTTTTTGACATTAATACTTGAAGTACTTAATTTGAGATATTAATATTTTATAAATTAGTAGAAAGCTTGATTTGTTTGGTGTACATAGATTTTCATCTTTACTATCAGAGCAAAAATGAAGGTTCGATGAATTTAATTCTAATTATAATGCAGCTTGAAATTCTGAACACGTTGTCACCTCTGGTTTTATCATGTCAACTTTTTTACGGGGACATGAATTCATTATCATTTTTTTCCAATCTGACATTAGGATTAAAACTTGACATTCTCTGACTACCTGGGGAAGACATGACTGACGTTGATGAGATAATCTGATAAGCGTTGATAACGGAAATGAAATGTTAGCAGCAGCAATATGATGCTGACGTATTGAACGGAAAATAAATTCCTTTAAGTTACGGTCACCGCCTGAGATAAACCTGAATTAGAACTTCTTAAAAAATACAACCAATTATAAAAATTGGGGATTTGTGCGAATAGGTCCATGAAAATACTGAGTCCAGAGTTACTATGGTACAGAATTGGCAGTTCTAATGAAATATTCTTGTTTGAGAGCATGCGAATATTTAGAATTGTTGCCTAGGTTTGTTTACACTGATTTTTACATTATACTAGCTCAGAATAAGGTGAAGTTTTTGAAGCAGACTAATTTATTTATGTAGGCATAATAGAGCGCACCGCCGACCAGCCCAACCAGAGCTATGGACCCTACAACGATGCCGGCGATCTCGCCTCCTGTGAGAGGCTCTGGTGGAGCTGGGGAGGTCTGTTCCGAAGTCGTTGAGTCCGGTGTTGTAGTGGCTGAGTCCGTTGTTGTAGTGGCTGTGTCCGTTGTTGTAGTGGCTGTGTCTGTTGTTGTAGTGGCTGTGTCCGATGTTGTATTGGCTGTGTCCGTTGTTGTAGTGGATATGTCCGTTGTTGTATTGGCTGTGTCCGTTGTTGTAGTGGATATGTCCGATGTTGTATTGGCTGTGTCCGTTGTTGTATTGGCTGTGTCCGTTGTTTTCTCGATGCATCCTTAATGTGTCGGAATATACCGCGTTTACCCTATGCCCATATTAATAGAAAACATTTTTTGCAAAGGCAGGATTTTTCTCATTCCTGGGCATAGTGGCAAAGCAGGGAGTTTTTTTTAGACTCTCCCTCAAGTTTATTTTTGACTCCTATAAGTAAACAAGCAAAGTATCATCGATATCAGCATTATCATACATAAGAAATTGGTTTAAATCTTGAGTAAATGAGGAAATCAAAAATGAACTGATTTCCTCATTTCCTCCCATTCTTCTTAGAAGAAGAAGAATGGATCTAGCTGCAAGACATATATATATTTTGTGTCATCTAATGATGCCTTTTAATTACTCTAAAAATGTTCATGGTAATGATGTGGACTTGATATTTATTACATTAGAATTTTTCTTAATGGATTCTCAAGCATTTCAGGATTGCCTTGTTTAAGGATTTGGAGGATACCAAGGCACTGAACTTGGAGTGTGGTTTATATTAACTATGTAATGATTTACTGAAAATCTTATCTTGTTAAAAAAATTCAATTTTATAATTCTGAAACTTTCAGGAGTGTTATGTTCCATTAAATGATTTATTTTCTCTTGAATAGGTTCTTCATTCATAACAGAATGTCTCCAAATAAACAATTTGTGTATCAGCTTTTGTGTTGTCTCCATTCCATAAATTAACACTAATCCAGAGCAACAGTTGTTGAGCCTCTCATGAGGACGTCTTCCATGAAATAGCAAAGTGTTGGGCATGGATCTCGCTGTGAAGGATTTCCATGCTACCATGAAGATGATTGCATCTGACACTATTTCCTTACAATCAGACAACTTGGGATCATCTTCATTTGATGCAAACAATCAAAACCTGCCTCTTTCAGACAACAAAGATAAATGGAATCATTTGTCTTCAAGTCAAGGCCTAGGTGCTTCCAACTCTCAAGGTATTGTAAATAGTTCCAGTTCTGATTTCTGTGATGGAGATATTCAACAAGATTTGCCCTACCATGCTGAAAATAAAACTTTTGAAAAAGGAAAATTTCCATTCATGAATCACTCTGTTGGAACGGGCANTAGACCCTGTCTCTTATACACATCTAGATGTGTATAAGAGACAGGTGTTGTAGTCGTGGTCGGAGTTGTAGTGGTTGTGGTCGGAGTTGTAGTCGTGGTCGGAGTTGTAGTGGTTGTGGTCGGAGTTGTAGTGGCTGTGGTCGGTGTTGTAGTAGTGGTCGGAGTTGTAGTGGTTGTGGTCGGAGTTGTAGTGGCTGTGGTCGGTGTTGTAGAGGCTGTGTCCAGTGTTGTAGAGGCTGTGTCCAGTGTTGTAGAGGCTGTGTCCAGTGTTGTAGAGGCTGTGTCCGGTGTTGTAGAGGCTGTGTCCAGTGTTGTAGAAGCTGTGTCCGGTATTGTAGCGTTCGCGGATTGACTGATTATTGCTAAGCCATCTTGAATCCAGTCAAATTCTTCTTTCTTTCGGGTTTTTTCAAACGATAAACGTTCGGAAAAAGCTTTTGATTTTTTTAGTTCATCATCCTCTTCAATGTTAAGATCCAGCAACAGTTTCTTATGAAATTCCTGCATAATAGATATGAGTAAAAAGCTGTTAATTCAAAACTGATTTGATGGTATATAATAAGTTACCACCGTTTTAAGTTAATTTTTTTTAAAATGACACGTTTTATTCCATTTCATATAATACACTATTCCATATTATAATTTTTTTCATTTAAAAAATTTTATTGGTTCACCTGTTGCGGCTCCAAGTATTCAGAGAGAAGTTCATTATCGTCGAGCCTGAAATGAAACATTTTACTTATGAATTGAGATGCAAAATTGGCGTGAAATGAAGTAAACTATGTGATCAAAAAGGTTTAATGTAGGTAACAGACCGGAATCAAGTAGTTATATTAATGCTTAATGAATTAGCATTTATATGATTACTATTAAATTGATTAATTAATCTATTATCGCCCCTAGGGGGGCGATATCGCCCACTTTGGGAACCACTGTTCTAAATGAAATCCAGCTAACTTCTTACACAGCGATGGCAATGACTAATAATGCTCGGCAAGAAATGAAAATGTTTGCGTTCGAATACTTTGTGAATATATGTGCCTTGCTTTGTGATGCAAATGTCCACGTTCGTATGAGGTCATGCATATATACTTTCTTTTGTGAATAAACTATAGGCTCCTGTTACAACTTTGTGACGAGTCATCGCTCTAGTAAATTATTGTGGTGGCGGGAATTGGGAAATTGAGATACTGGAAATTTGGATACTGGTAATTTAGATACTGGAAATTGGGATACTGGAAATTGTAATACTGGAAATTGGATACTGGACAATGTGATACTGGAAATTGTGATACTGGAAATTGGGATACTGGAAATTGGGATACTGGAAATTGAGATATCGGAAATTTAGATACTGGAAATTGGGATACTGGAAATTGGGTTACTGGAAATTTGGATACTGGTAATTTAGATACTGGAAATTGGGATACTGGAAATTGTGATACTGGTAATTGGGATACTGAAAATTGGGTTACTGGAAATTGGGATACTGGAAATTGTAATACTGGAAATTGGATACTGGACAATGTGATACTGGAAATTGGGATACTGGAAATTGAGATATCGGAAATTGGGATACCGGAAATTGGGATCCTGGAAATTGGAATACTGGAAATTGGGATACTGGAAATTGTGATACTGGAAATTGGGATACTGGAAATGTGATACTGGAAATTGTGATATTGAAAATTGAGATACTGGAAATTGGGTTACTGGAAATTGAGAAATTGGGATACTGGAAATTAAGAAACTGGGATACTGGCAATTGAGAAATTGGGATATTGGAAATAAAGAAATTGGGATACTGGAAATTGAGAAATTGGTATAGTACTGGAAATTAAAAATTGTGATACTGGGAATTAATAAATTGGGATACTGGAAATTTAGAAATTGGGATACTGGAAATTAAGAAATTGGGATTCTGGAAATTGAAAAATTGGGATACTGGAAATTACGAAATTGGGATACTGCAAATTGGAATACTGGAAATTAGGATACTGAAAATTGAGATACTGAAAATTGAGAAATTGGGATACTGAAAATTGAAAAATTGAGATACCGGAATTGGAAAAATTGAGATACTGGAAATTACGAAATTGGGATACTCACTCGTGGAGGTAGTCTCGAGGCAGACCGTTGGCCGCGCCTAGGACGGTCAACAGAGTCGCTATGGCGAGAAGAATTTTGCAAGCGCCGCTATGCCCCATCATCCTATATATAAAAAACAGAACATTTCGGTATTTATGGAATAGTGTGCATACTAATTTCCAGTGAAGATATTATCTGGTCAAGTTATTATGTAGAATTACTATGTCCTTTGAGTGACTCTCGAAGAGATAATATATTTAGCTAAAGAACTTTATGTTGATTTCTGGGAAAAATCATGTAAATTCAGCTGGTGAAGCCTCATGTCAATTTCTGGGAAGAGAGCATCTATGAAGACACAGCTGATGAAACATCATGTCTATGTCTAGTAAGTGATCATGTAGACTTAGCTGCTAAAGTTTTGTGTCGATTTTCACGAACGTTAGAACAATAAAGGAACAAAAAGGTGCGAAAAATCATAGAAGTTATGACGTTTATCACCGATACAGTAATTAACAATGATTTACTTCTTGAGAGGGTCGTGCAGGTTGACAGATACACGACAAAGAGATTGGAGGATTTCGAAGATTGATAATCAAATTTTTCATAAATTATGAATTTGAGTATGAAAATCTAGAAGCCTTTCCTCGCTTCACATTCTAGTACTTTCGGAAATTTGCACATGCAGACCGAAAATGAAGACCAATACCAACCTTTCAAATTTATTTTCGTCGATATTTTAAGAAACTAAATATTGGCTCATGATATAGCTGAGATTATATAATTTTCAGAGCTTATTTATATATAATGTCTGAGAGGGTTTTTTGATAATTGCTACAACAACTCAATTAGTCGTCTTGTCAGCACTGCACCGCAGGGCACAGTTGTAGCAAATGAATTTCCCGTGAAGAAGATCGCCTCTTATACCAAAACAATGCATTTACCGCTGATCAACGGACGTGGTCTTATCGTAGATAAAATACTGTATTCTACTAGAGATTCTATGTAAGACGTCTTTCATAGTCAGAAGATAATGAGGGAGATGAGAGGAGGCGATAACACAAATATTTATCACAAAAAAACTCTTGCTGCATTCTTAGAAGAGTCGCATGACGATTTAAGGTTAATTGATCAAGCCGCATTTCAAATTCTGTTTGACGTCATCATACCATAATTAATGAAACATTCGTTGACGTCAACAGATATGATAAGATTTTTCAGATATCCTGGTACGAACAAATTGTATTCGCGCATTATGACGAGACAATGACTTTGACAAGACGGAAACATATTTTAATATGCCCGAGATACTGAAGCTGTGTTTAATGTAACACTGACCATATCATACTTGAACTAGTATAAGGTTGACCCATCAGAAGCCCATTTTTGTGGTTGTAGTTCGTTTTTCGCCCGTGACGTCACTGATCTCAGTAACGGCACGATCTCACTAACGTTAATCACCGAAATGCAATCAAACTAGTCAACCAATCCTTCATGAGAATGACGGGTTTGTTTACGTTTCTCGATATATGTGACGTAACAAGAAAGCTGAACTGAAAGACGGAACTTCTCGTGGGGCAACCTTATATAGTTCACCCATGGATCATACTACACATTTATGAAAGCAATCTGCCCATAAGATAGTCCAGTGGTTACAGTTCAGAGTACCAGGAGTGGAGCAGAGAGGTGTGGTTTCGATCTCAGCTCTGTGCGCCAGTTTCTGGTCAGAATCGGCGAGAAGGCCGAGCGGTTAAGCCCAGCGGAATTGGACCAGTGGGTTGCGTGTTCGAGACAGCACCAAGCTGCGAATATTCTGCGGTTTTAAGAATCGGTGACATGCACAACGAACTAATCAACGCTGAAACCGCAGAGATTGCGATCTAATTAAAAAATTTATTCTCGAGATAAATGACAACGGAGGTTGCACTCTTTCCTTGTGTGCAAATTAACCCATTCGAAGAGTTATAATGCGCTACAGTTATCTGGAGTATTTTATTGAATTTAAACTATGTGGAGGTATTTGTTTTTTTTTCGCTGTGTTAAACAGGAGGCAACTTCATTAGAATACCCGATTCCTGTGTGCAATAAAATAATATCAGGCCTCATGTTCGTGAATTTTTAAATAAGTTGACAACCTTTAGGTTGATAAGGGCTGATTTAGGTTGATATGTATCTTACGTGTAAATGCGCCTGCTAAATTCATACAATGACAAATTTTTAACGTCGCCAAATCAAGGGTTCTGTTTGCATAAACGATCCTTTTCAACTACGGCACGCGCCACTAAATCAGTATTAAGTCGAGTCCGACGAGTCGAGTCCGACGAGTCGAGTCGAGTCCGACGAGTCGAGTCGAGTCCGACGAGTCGAGTCGAGTCCGACAAGTTTAATGCGTCAAGATTTTTTAACCTCTCCAGCTTAATGATTTTAACCTTTTCCTTTATTCACATTCCATCCCCGGCGAGCTACGTCATCACTTGTTCCCAACTTCTTTCAACACAGTGAGGAACAAACTTGAGGTGCTCTGCACAAGTGGAGAGCGAAGAAAATTTGGTATGGAGTGCGTTGAACTGCATGGTTGAACTAGATTATTAGTTCAACCACGGTTGAACTGTATCTCGTCAATAGTTGACTTGTGCTGAAAGTGGGCCTTAAAGAACTTATAGAGAAGTGGCCCAGTAGTTACAGTTCAGCAGAGTACCAGGATTGGAGCAGAGAGGCGCGGGTTCGAACCCAGCTCTGTGCGCCAGTTTAACTGCCCTGAGGCCGGGCAGTTAAGTAAAGCAGAATTGGGGCAGTGAGTTGTGAGTTTGAGACTGCTACATGCTGTGAATGTTCTGCGATGTTAAGAATCGGCGACAGGCCTGCGGCCTAATAAACGCTGAAACCGCTATTATAATGACTTCAGAACTGGGTAGCAAACGCCAACAACAAAAAAGGTTCATAAGAACTGTTTACATGTAATAATAGGACGATTAAGTATAGCAATTAATAGCTGCATAACTTCAGCTATAATGTCCGAAAGTAAGTCTTAGCGTTTTTTCGTCAAGCCGATTAAATAATTTTCATTTCGCTGCTGCTGACAATTTGCAGTCAAAAAGATGAAAATTTATTTTCACGCTCTAAGTTGAAAAATTTTCAGATTTTTCATAGTTAACTTTTGTAAACTCTATTTCACACGGGTGCCAATGAATTTTTTTGCTAATTTTCAATAAAAAAGAAGAAATGGGATAAAGAAAATACTTCGATGTAGTTCGGTTGGCATCCCTGACTCCTTAAGTGTTTGTGCTCAGTCTCAAGAATGTCAACAAAAATTTAGGATGTGCGCAATGTATATTAGTTTGGTTTTAAATTTATCAATGATAAGAAGAGCTTGAAGTTCATTTGATAACTCTTTGACTGTTTTGCACCATTATTAATTCATAAATTTATGTTGTTTTACACGAGAACTTGCAGGAAAGAGTCAATTTTGCCAAATCTCAAGTCATCATCGGCATATTAGAACATTTGAGTTATATATTTGCTACTGAATCAGTAGCTATGTTTACAATTTACATCAATAAATGATGTAAAAAATTAGCCGAGTCGGATGAGTTTCATTGTAAACAATATATTTGTTACCCTAATTCTCACTCATATGAAATCGGCATGTGCATTTGACTGATTTGAGCTCTCAGAATTTCAATAGAAAATCATAATGCTTAGAATATAATAGAACANTAACCAATTTAGTCCGGTAATCTCTGCTTGAATGAACTTAGTCTGTCTCTTATACACATCTAGATGTGTATAAGAGACAGACTTCATGCCGTGTAAAGGTTCCCAGTAATTTATTATTGAAATTATGGTTTTTAATTATATCTCACACTGATCCTCTAGTGGAAATATATTTAAGTTCCCATAAATTTGCAATTGGCTGTAAAATCAAGCAATTTTTTCTGCATCTGTCTTTCCAAACTCCTACATTCAACATTCTTTACAGATCATAACTGCTTCTTCATTCCAGCTAGGTCTGTCTCTTATACACATCTAGATGTGTATAAGAGACAGCGTTTACCCTATGCCCATATTAATAGAAAACATTTTTTGCAAAGGCAGGATTTTTCTCATTCCTGGGCATAGTGGCAAAGCAGGGAGTTTTTTTTAGACTCTCCCTCAAGTTTATTTTTGACTCCTATAAGTAAACAAGCAAAGTATCATCGATATCAGCATTATCATACATAAGAAATTGGTTTAAATCTTGAGTAAATGAGGAAATCAAAAATGAACTGATTTCCTCATTTCCTCCCATTCTTCTTAGAAGAAGAAGAATGGATCTAGCTGCAAGACATATATATATTTTGTGTCATCTAATGATGCCTTTTAATTACTCTAAAAATGTTCATGGTAATGATGTGGACTTGATATTTATTACATTAGAATTTTTCTTAATGGATTCTCAAGCATTTCAGGATTGCCTTGTTTAAGGATTTGGAGGATACCAAGGCACTGAACTTGGAGTGTGGTTTATATTAACTATGTAATGATTTACTGAAAATCTTATCTTGTTAAAAAAATTCAATTTTATAATTCTGAAACTTTCAGGAGTGTTATGTTCCATTAAATGATTTATTTTCTCTTGAATAGGTTCTTCACACATAACAGAATGTCTCCAAATAAACAATTTGTGTATCAGCTTTTGTGTTGTCTCCATTCCATAAATTAACACTAATCCAGAGCAACATTTGTTGAGCCTCTCATGAGGACGTCTTCCATGAAATAGCAAAGTGTTGGGCATGGATCTCGCTGTGAAGGATTTCCATGCTACCATGAAGATGATTGCATCTGACACTATTTCCTTACAATCAGACAACTTGGGATCATCTTCATTTGATGCAAACAATCAAAACCTGCCTCTTTCAGACAACAAAGATAAATGGAATCATTTGTCTTCAAGTCAAGGCCTAGGTGCTTCCAACTCTCAAGGTATTGTAAATAGTTCCAGTTCTGATTTCTGTGATGGAGATATTCAACAAGATTTGCCCTACCATGCTGAAAATAAAACTTTTGAAAAAGGAAAATCTCCATTCATGAATCATTCTGTTGGAACAGGAAATTCATTTTCTGTTGAAGACCTTCAAAAGAGAGGAGAAAATAGTATCTTGAACACCAGCAGTTGTGATGTAAATTACATTACTAGTTCTCAGGAAAATAATCTTACTTTCAATGAGCAAATGCTCAATCCTCATAATGCTTCCTTTAATACTTGCCAAGGGTACTATAACCCTAATATTAATAGTGTAGAAGAATCTAAAAATCTTCAAAATGGCTGCTTGGATGCTACCAATTCACGTGACAGTGGTCAGTGTGGCAAGGAATCAGATCATTTTGTTGAGGATTCAGAGATGCAACCAAGGCAGAGAAGAAAGTCACGTAAACCACTCAAGTCAAGCATACGTTATGTGAAGGCTGTGAGTGACTCTCCACTGTCTACTTGCACTGAACTCTCCCCTCCTCCCACTTTGAGTTCCCCTTCTTTACCTTGCACTCCCCCTGTGTCAGTGCAAGCTCCTCTCTCCCCTCCTCTTTCTGACGTACAGTCTAGCCTCTCCAGCTTGTCTCCATGCTCTTCCGTTAATAGTGATGAGAACAAGTGTGCTCCTCGAGCGCCTCTACCGAGACTATTGCCAATTGATAATTGGCCTGCATCATCTGCCGTCCTGAACAAGCTGCCTAACAAAATAGACAATTCATCTCAACTGAAACAAGATGAACAGCACCATTCCTTCATCTCCAATCCTGATGAGTTGCCCCCACCTCCCCCGTATCCCAAAGTTGAAAACATACATATTACCAACAAGATGAATTTGAGGTCCAATGAAGCACCTAATTCTAATGATAGTGCCCATGAAGAGATGAACGAGTCCTGTGATGCACATGAACAAAATCAATGCAGAGAAGACAATTCAAGACCTCCTCCGCCTCCATACCACAGCCACTTCTTCTCTCACCTGGATAAAAAATTGTGTGATTCACCCTCAGATATCAGCAATACTGATAGTGAAAGCTCAACATTGTGTCCAACTCCTAATCTCTCAAGAGTATCATCTCTAAATGAGTCATTCTGGTCATCTGTTCACCTCCCTTCATCATTGTCAGTTTCTGCCGTTGGTATCCCTGATACTCAACTAAAAGGCTCAGTGTCTTCTAATGCTGATTTTACAATTGATGGCAGCAAGAAAGCCTGCAAGAAGACATCTGATGGCGATGGTGACAACAAATCTGCGTGTGATGCATTCCCAGCCAATAGCATGGCTATGCTTTTACAGCGCTTGACTGCATCTCAAAACAGGGAGTGTGGAAATCCTGCCAATGATTTTTTCATGATTGATGATTCTAATATACAGGTAAAGTTTGTTTAAAAATTTTCTTGATTTAAAATACTTCCTTTGAAATCTAGATTAAATTCATGAACTTCAGACATGCTCTGTGATCAGTTAAATTTGAAGAAATTCTCATAACAAAGGTGTGTGAATAACACTTCATGCCGTGTAAAGGTTCCCAGTAATTTATTATTGAAATTATGGTTTTTAATTATATCTCACACTGATCCTCTAGTGGAAATATATTTAAGTTCCCATAAATTTGCAATTGGCTGTAAAATCAAGCATTTTTTTATCTGTCTTCCTAAACTCCTACATTCAACATTCTTTACAGATCATAACTGCTTCTTCATTCCAGCTAGGTACTGAATTTTGCTGCTTGGTTTGAGCTAATAAAATTCTTATTTTGCAGAGACATGATGGGGCGATGGTCCAGCAAGCACTCAAAAGAAATGATGATATTCAGCACCCTGAGGACTCCTCTGCTAATGGAAAGAAAGCTAAAAACACTATCAATATTGACATTGATAAAAACAACTTGACTAGTATTCTTAACAACCTCATTGCCAAGAATGTGGTGCAACCTAATAGCCTCTCTGCAGATGCACCAAACTCCAGTCACTCTATTTTTCTCCCAAGTGATCGGGATAGCCCTTCTGCATCAGGTATAGAACCCCAACAAACTGCATTGCAAAGCCCCCATCCTTCTTTTGAAGAGCAGGATGCTGCTCCATCTCCATACAATTCAGACAAAAACGATTCGTGTGCTTCTTCGCCCTCAACCTCTAAACAAAGGTCTCAAGTAATGGATTTGGTGAATGAACATAACTCTCAAAGGATGGATATTAACAACGATCAGGATCCTGAAGATGTCAATGATCAAGCAATGGATCTTGGTAAGCACGCATCTAACTCAAGTGACGACCAGCAATCTGCTTCTGATAACAACGCTGCTGCTGTGGCTGCTCTTGTAGCTGCTGCTGTCCAGGGCAGCTTTTCTAATCCACTGATGCCTGACTCATCGCCTCTGTCAGCTCTTCTTGCTGGCAATGCAGGCAGTGATTTCTCTCGTTGTGCTTCACTTTTTGCTCCAGGCATGGACCTGATGACACTGTCAGCATCTTTATCTGGTATGCCCTGTGGACCTTTTCGTAATGAATCTGCTGTTGATGGTAAATCAATGGGTCCTGATAAATTACAGCTTTTACAGTTTGATAAATCTTTTTTAGAGAATGTTTCCATGAACAATTTGGGTAACATGGCGGCCCTGACCTACTTGCTTCAGCAGCAGCAACAGCTTCAGCTGGAATCAGCAGGACTTGGCAGCGGCAACATAACTAATGCCCTGAATGGCCTTACTTCTTTGCCACCCCTCAATGGACTCGCTGGACTACAGGCCATCCCGGGGCTTGAAGACATCACTCTGCAACAGGCCTTGAAGAAAATGAGGTACACTGGCGATGCATCAATGCCGGTCAAGCGTAAACCGCGATCCAGCAATCACACCAAGAGCTTCCACTGCAGTCTCTGCAGCAAGAGATTCTCACTCAAGGATGAGCTAGAAGAGCACATGCTTACTCACACGTCTGATGAGCTTGGAAATGAAAGCTACATGCAGAAAAGTTTTGCTTGTACCGAGTGCTCATTCCGCACCAAGTATAAGTTTTGCTTGCAACGCCACATGCACATACACAGTGGCGAGAAGCCGCTTGTTTGTCCCTACTGTCGCTATCGCTCCATCTCAAAAGTGAGCTATGATAACCATATACGCACTCATACTGGGGAGAAGCCTTTCTCATGTCCCTATTGTTCATACAAATCAAGTTTCAAAAATAACCTGACAAAGCACATCAAGACTCACACAGGCTCAGGCAAGCCGTATACCTGCAACAAATGCTCGTGCTGCTTTTCGTCGCAGATGCAGCTCAAGACGCACATGCGCCTACACATGGACCCTACAGGCACCCACAGCTGCACACAGTGCCTCTACACCTGCATGTCTCGTTTTGAACTCGAGTGCCACATGCGCACTCACTTGCCCATGTAATAATTTGATACCAAACATTTCTTTTCTAATGCAACGACTGAATGATCTTTCCTGTTATTTTATGATTTGTTTAAACAGTTCTCAGAGTGACTTGCCCATGTAATAATTTGATTCCAAACATTTCTTTTCTAATACAACGACTGAATGATCTTTCCTGTTATTTTATGATTTGTTTAAACATTTGAGTGATCTAAGTTGAAAGGAATGTCAGGAAATTGAATGTTATGAATAACACCATGTTTCGGTTTTTGTTTAATGTCACTACTGATGTGAACAATATTATTATTATTTCAATACTCGGATGTTTGGAATACTCACATTTAATTAGGTAAACAATAATTCTCTATGCTTTTTATCCGTTTCATTAATCCTGAAATAATACTCTTGTGTTTTTAAGTTTTCAAGGTTGAAATTTTGTACCTGACATTTGTTGTTGCATTCTTGTTTTAATAATATGAACTACCTGCTGTCTCGAAACTAGGTGCATCTAATGCTGCGATAACCTCGTACATGTGTTGAAACTTATTCGTCCTGGTGCTTCATCACCTTCATAAATTTGTGCAGCTGGCTTTTGCAATCATGCGAGATTTTATTGTGCGAGATTATACTGAATTCATCTCCCTATTCATACTACTAGTGTTGTTTATCAGTAAATTGGCTTACAAACTTTATTTTATTGAATTTCTGATATTACTGTAAAGAAATGCCAATGCCAAGGTATGATTACTGTGATTCCTAATAAGGGCATTCAACTTTTCAAACGAGTCATTTAATGACTTAATCCTCTCACTTAATACTCTGACTTAATACTCTGACTTAATACTCTTTAGCACTGTCACATTGAACCCAACAGCTGTGTTACCAGTTGCTATCTAGTTCTCCTGATGATTATTTGTATATTTTGTTATGTATTATCTATACTCGCATTATTAGTCAAATAACTGTATAGTTATCCTCTGGTTGTGGGCATATTTGAACGTTTTCGATAGTTGTGTTCCTTATCATTACAATGAAGTTAAGTTTTTACATTGTTTGTCGTACGGCATGAAAACGATCTTCAAGAGGAGCTTATTGTTCTTGTTTGTTGCGGAGATGTGAACGCAGACTTTGTTCAATGAGTGAAAAATGATATTTTTACGCCTTTGTGGATTAGCCATATCGTGGATGCACGCGTTATATTTTGAGTAACTCTCTGGTAAATACTCATAGTTGATGTAACATTTCAGTGATTTTGGAGTAGCTTTTCTGTTTGTAATTGCTTATTATTTTTTGGATACGCTCAAACTTTCAATAATGGTTATCTGGTTATAATAGAACTACTGCTTAAAATTGCTACGTCTTGAATTTTTCCTCATTCATTTTTATTTAGTTCATTGAAATTCTACTGACGGTGCTCGAAAAACTTCCATGAGGATACAATTGCTTATTTTTTAATGAATTGACTGCATCATGAAGATGTGTTCAAAACTTGATGGCCGTCCTATTGTGAGTTCTGTTTTTACTGTTAGACTTTTTTAGTACATATTTTTTTGGTTTAAAAGGTAATTGTTGACATCGAATTACAAAATAGGTTCTTTCTTAACCACCTTGAGTATCATTTCATGACTGATGTGCAATGACGTTATCTGTACCCGCTATGAATCTCCTGTTATTTTGTTTTACTTTAATGGTATTCAAGTTTGTTTTTGTCCCTTGATATTTTGATGTTCTCGAGTTACCTTTAGAGTTGTGTAACTGACGATTGCCGGGAGTAGCGAGAATTTTCTTTGATCTTATCGTTGTTTTTGACTTGTAACAACATTAATTATGTTTAACAATGCACATAATTGTAATTCTATAGGACATGAAAACTAATTTCTCTCATTCTTTTCATTTATTACGATCGGAGAACAAATTTATAACGATAGGAGAAAAAATAATATTTGACAAGGCATTCAAGTAAAGCTGTGTGCTGACTGAGAGGAGGCTTTTTTGTTCTAACGAATTGCATGTCGTTAAAGTGTGAGGTTGTTACTGCTATTGAATTATTGCAAGCAAGATGATGTAATGAGAGCTTGTTCTGCTCCAAGCCTTCACTGTATGAATAAATGTGCGTGAATGTGAGGGAGTGAACTTAGTACCTTACATAGCTTCAAAGTATCTGGCTTTCTGGACTCCTAGAATGTTAGTCTAGAAACCTGTTGTTTATAGTGTGCTTTTTTAGAAATGGTAACATTGTAGATGAGCTATATTTTGAGCTTCTTTTTGTAATAGAAAAATGTTTATTTTTAATTTGTGCTATAGTAAAACGCTGTATACGCTTTATTTTTATAGTGGAACTGATCACAAACACATGAGAGCTTTTGTCTGTGGTAGAACTAATGAAGTATTACCAGCTTAGATAACTAGCTTTAGGGATTGTTTAGATGCTCTTAAGATAAGAACCTCATAGCCGTAATCTTAATTGTATACATTCCATCAACACGCAGGCTCGGCTACTGTCGGAACCTCTTCACATACTCGTCCTCAATTCTACAACTTACGTAGATTTGTTTGGTATTCTGAAGGCGTCCTAGGGTTTGTTGCTATACTTCGCGCCTGTTTTTTATGATTACCTCGACATTTTTGTCAGAGGATTCAAAATGTATGTATGTCAGAAACAAACATTTTGACACGCATATTGTATGTTTTTGTCAAACATACAAAATGATGATACTATGTTGTATGTTTTTTGACGAAGCTGGGTTTACTATTTTCACGCCACATTTTCCATCCATGCGTATATTAATTGAAGTTTTTATAGAGATGTTTTTTTTCTGTAGAGGCGTTTATTAGTTGATACTGAATATCCAAACCTCATGTTATGGAAATCTGTTTCTGATTTCTCTTGGAGAATTGTGCAACAAATGAAACATTGATTTCAATTCCGTAAATTTTTCTCATTTCAGTTGTAAATTATGACCATAAATTAACGCGTTTATGCAGAATACTTGAACATTTTCATGACTCCACTCCCGGACTCCCTTGTCTCAGGTGTTACTCTAGCATACCGAGATCTGCCTGTCATGCTTCAATCAATGCACTAGAAACATCTTCCCTCTTGTATTGTCCATTTAACAATGATTGAGAGTGTCAAATATTGATGATAATTGGAATCTGTTTCGACACTTCCTCTCTATCGATGACTTGAGGTATCGGGTATCGGGGATTCCATTTACTTATCAACGAAGTATTTTGAATATCCATTAAATTTTATAGGCAGAGAATGGTTTGCTGTTGCTATTAACGCCTTTTGTGTAGCCGTCCTAAAAGTTCAAGTTACTTTCATCTTGCAAACGTCCGAGGGTTTGATGAAAAAAATCGTCGTGCCTTGTTTATTGCAGACTTTACTGCATGTTTATTGCTCGCTTCCGGTGCTGGAGTTTGGAAATTTTTTGAGTTTTCATAAAATAAAATTCATCTCCAAATCCAGGAGATTGTTTTTTTTGAGCCGATCGATTATGATGCAACCTCTGCTATTCACGTTCTTGTTTCCAAAGCCAAAATTACCTACCGGCTAAATTAGTTTTCCATTCAACTCGGATGGTTGTATTAGATGTTGCGTATAAACTAAGATTATATTAGTTGTCCAAATTATTATCTCGAATATTGACAGCTATTATTGTTAAGTATTCTGTATGGCATTCTTGGGTTAATTGTTTGTATCTACGTTAATTCAACTATGGTTAGGAATTTTAGTTTTAATTGCTATTACGCATACCCACAAAGACTAATTTACCAGGGATATCTTTCCATTTGATTGAGCTCGACATTTGGGGATGAAACTTCTTTATGAATGAATTGTGTGGTTTTTTTAGTAAACACGAAAACTAGGTATTTCTCGCTCGCAATTTACTTTAACCATGCTGATTAAAATGTAAGCGTGGAGTTAAAATGTATTAAAATGCCATTGATGTCCGTATTGCTTGAGCCTTCAAGCGTGACGATGTCATTGGTACAGTCCAGGTGCAATGTACACTGTGCGTAAAGGTGCTTGTACACGGAGAAAGTATTAGCCGATAGTGTTAGTGGTCAGTATTTCTACTTCAGATATCGGGCTAAAAATGGAAGAAAAATGCAACATTTTTAATTTTAGTAACAATTTTATCAAAATTATCAAAAATTATGTTTGAAAATTGGAAGAAATTAGCTCGATATATGAAGCAAAAGATACTTGCCACTACCACTACAGGCTAATACTTAGCTCGTGTATAAGTACCTTATGATAAGCTAGATTATATATATACATAAGGTTGCTAGTGTAAACCGGTGCCGTTAGATAGCATGCAGGGTGTTTTCCTCTTCCTTAATAGGTTTTAAACTGCGCGCGTTCGTGCCACATTTTTGCAAGCCAATGTTATTCCTATAGAATCTGAGTGGACTTGGTCGGGCTACTGCTACCTCAGCCTCGCCCTTATTTTTGATGCCAATTGTTATTCCTGCTAGAAACTGCAGCCACTCACCGAACGGTCGGTGTAATGTAAGTCTTGCTCGTAATATTCATGCCAATCATTGTTTTTATGGTGTTGTATTTAACAAAATGTTTGTGACTAGTCATTGCTTCCTATGAAAACCTTTGAAATCTACAAATTTCAAGTGAATTTGATAACATTACCATAATTGAATCTGTACATTTTCATTTTTTGGCTTCAAGTGCTCGGAGAGCGCGAAACTATTGGTTACGAATTTTTACTAACACCAAAGTACGAAGTGCAATGTCGAAACATCGATAATGGTAGCGCGATGGTGTTTGACTAATACCAAAATAAGCTGTGCAATGTCAGAACATTGATTGTCGATGATATTTCTTTGTCGGTGATCCAGTGAAACGCCCGGAATTTGCGTGATTGAAAGCGCTTATTATTGACTTTTGTTGTTACGTAACTGATTGTATAATTATTTGGTTGACTTCCCAGTGCTGAAACTCTATTGTGCATTCGAATTTTCGTGAAAACTGTCTTGTTTCTTTTGGAATCTTTATTTAGTGTTGTATTTCTTTGCATTGATAAAGTCAGGTTGTCTGCTAACAGACAAGGTTGTTACATTAAAAAATTCTCATTTGATTTCGGTCTCCTGAGCTGAAATTTTCCAACTTATGAAGTTGAATTTACACCTGTTGTTCCGAGATGAGTCTTCACAGCATGTTATATAGGCCAACATGAATTTTTTTAATGAACTTCCGTTAATAGTGTTAAGAAATAAAGTTTTTTTGTAGCATTCTTTACTCGTGTGATCATTCAATTGGCTTTATCATACATTTTCGCGAACAACAAAAAAGTTAATGGTCAATAAATTATTGTTTCATAACTGCAGCATCGTCGTCACAAAATGACCGCAAAGCGGACAGGAAGATTTTCCTCAAAGATTTACTGCTTTCCGTTGTGATAGGAGCAGGGAAAATACCCTTAGCATAATGATGAAATAACACCGCTTTTGTTGCTTCTAGCGTGTTTTGAATGTTAGTTAATTGATTACCGCTGCAGAAGTGAGATCCACAGACGTGGTCATTGCATGTAGGCAGAGCCGACTGAATTCGTCTCTTGCAATACGAAGAAAGTCCGTTCGGGGCTGCATTTCATTTCTTGACAGCGCGATACTTGCCTCATGAGGAATCGGTTATCTCTGAACCTCCTCCAGCCCTTGTCTTCGCAGGTCTGATGGCTGGAATTTGTAATCCTTTTAGAAGAAGTGAAGTACTCGTCTTTTAAAAGGTAGAAATTTCACGCTGTTGAGTGTATGGTGTGAACGGAGTTTCAAGCTTGAAGTTGAAATCGGATCCTGGGAACTGTTCCAATTTTTGCTAAAATTACGCGCCGAATCTTTAGGTTGTGATTATAAGAGTATTATGTCCATGCTTTCAGTCCTCTAAATACTGAACTTGACTTCCAGTTCTCACTACACGTTATTGAAGACCTGGGCCTATGGAGGCCTGCTGATTCTTTTCCGGCATGTAAGATGTGTACGTAGTGCAATATTGCTTTAGATGATGAATACTCATAGCAACATGGTAAGGCTTTTACGCGTAGGTGTAACATATAATAGTCGAGCGTACTTAAAAGTTACGATTGTAGGAGGTATTGTAGTGCAAAGCTTGCCGCTGCACCGCCGGCGTGATGGAGAGCGTGTGTGGAGGCGAGAGTGCGGTGGCTTCTAGGGGCTGTAACTAATGTATTGCAGTGATAGAATTAGGCGCCAACGTCGCGGCGCTGACATGCCCGTGCTTGTTCGTCTTGGCAGAATAAAATGTGATGGCTTTAATGTGGCTTTTAATCCTCCTGTTACATGCGATGACGATAATTGTTTTTATTACTGGGTTTACCAGTACTTCCATGGCCTTGCGGAGGTCGTGAATTAAGTGATTCATGCTCGACATATCGTTAGCGGAAATATGAGGGCTCATAGGTTTTTTTATGTAGTAAATCAAAATAAGAATAATTTAAATGTGCTGGTTATCAATTCTGTGCCAACAAGTATGAATTTTGTTCCGTCTAATTAGGTTTGAATGTTGTTGAGTTGGGGCGTGACCGTGAATGATCGAATAACGCTTTGAGATCGCGTGCATTTAACGCTCACCACCGACCGATATTAACTCTAAGGTTATTGCAAAGAACAATTTTACAGTTTAGAATAATAGGTGGGGCGCTGGGACCCGGTGGTTGAGAGGAGGCAACAGTTGCAAAATCGTTTTGCACCAAACTTCACTGTGAAGTAATAAATAAACTAAGTAATATCGTTCGTGGCTCCGAAAATGTTCGCGCATAACACTATTGTTGCACGCAGCTAGGTTATGAACCACTACACATTAGGAATTTCCACATGGTAACTGGATGATAAAATATTGTTACTGCTATTGCAGTCCAAATTGCTTTTCTTATAGAATACGTAGAAGTGTCGGCACTGAAGAAATAGGCCCATGGCCTGTTGCCGATTCTTGAACTTTTCGTGACTTGATTCACAAGGGATCCGGCGTCTGGAACCCGATCTTTCCATAACTGACGATTGATTAGGTATATCAACAGTAATAACATGTATAAGTTTAAGCCTTCTGCCACCATCAAATCAAACTAATAACTTGATTTTTTTCGGTTTGTGATATAATATTTTGTACCCCAAAATCAATAATTTTAATGTTCACATCATGCAGCCATTTCAGCAAGAAATAAGTTAGTAATAAAAATGTTTTAAAATCCCTCATCCTTTGATTAATTATCTAGTATATACTTAAAAAGTTAGGAGTTGGATAGGTTTTTGAAGCGCTTATACGGTCCGTAATGATCTTCATAGTTCAACAGACGAATTAAAGTGACTGGGAGTGATAACTTGGTAAGTAGCCTCAAAATTAATAATCAATTACTGGATATATCTCAAGTATCTAAATTCTTTCGCAGGAAATGTGAATGATGAATGAGAATTTTTTTCATTTTTTGTTTAGCTCCACGAAAATTTATTTTATCAGTTATGAGAAAGTCGATGAAATTAGTAGAAGGATCAAGGAAAATGTTTCCCTTAGTTAGAATCCCGCCACCGGCAGAAACAGAGTGGTGTTGGTGCGATGTTGAATTAGAGGAGTGTGATGTTTGCAATCAGTGCGAAGAAAAACTCGAGTGCTGATATTCTATTAAGTTTCTCTAATATAAAGATGATAGATTGAGGGAAATTCTATCTATGATCTGGTCTAAAAAATGTTCGAATTGAAAAATTTAGGTGAGAATTTCTTCAGCGTATGTGTCATGAAATTCTTATGAACAGAGATTCTTCTGTAACTATGATATGGAACTTATGAATTACTTCTGCAGAGGATGGAGCAGCTTCAAGATAAGGTTAGTTATGTTATAACTCAACATGGTTTTCATCTGACTCAAATTGCATTATTTCCATTGAATAAGATTATATGTGTAGATAGTTTTAGGAACGGATTATCGTGAAAGGTGAAATTAGGCGTGTGTATTGTTTTTTTTTTCGGCTTACGAAATATCGAAATCTGTTGACCAAAATCACACAAAATTCTGTTGGACGGCAAAAGTTTTTCTGCAATGAAGCACTAATGATGATATTCATATTAGTATGTTTTCAAGGCACGGTATAAACTCACTCAGGGTGGAATTCTATGAATGGCAGTTCGTATATTCAGGATCGTTCCAGCGTGGCAAGATCATCATGCAATTGCACTCTATAATTGACGCATCCTTAACTGTATTATAAACTTGTGTGTCATGACAGTCATGGTTTATACTTTATACTAACCGTTTGTATTATTTTTATATCATATAGTTTATATTTTACCTCGAGACGATTTTTGTATTCGTCCAATTGTACATACGCAATAGCTTATGGATAAAAAATGAACGTACTTAAACTTTAGAGGGAATATATAATTACTCATCCTTCCCAACGGATGGTAACAACATTTTAACTTTTCTAACTTACGGTCACGCTCTTGCATAACCACAAAATAACTTATAAAATATAGCTAATAGCTTACCTACTAAGTATGTATTGTCAATATTACCTCAAGTTTAAGTCGCCATTGCATTTTTACCGTCTATCGTAAACGATGTGCAAAATAAAATTTATAAATAAATCTCGTTGCGTTTATATGTAACAGAGAAACNTTTACCGTCTATCGTAAACGATGTGCAAAATAAAATTTATAAATAAATCTCGTTGCGTTTATATGTAACAGAGATACCGTATGTAAATGTCTTTAAAATAATGAAACAAGCTTTTATTCCATCTCGTTTCAATACTTTTTATTGAAAATTGGCAGCTTAACCCTCTCCCGCCTGACATGAGTAACCGGAGCAATATTGTCACGCGCCTACTTCCCAAAAAGGATATACGTTCTAGTGAGCGCAAAATGACTTGCACTGATGGTTGCCGCCACGTACAACAACTTTAAAATGTTCTCTGTTGCGTACAAACGTCCTCAGGTTGCTACACTCAATAGTTTACGTATAATTTATGTTGAAAGTTATGTTCTCGGAGAGTCGCATACGGCGGTAGAGGGTTAAGTTGAAAGCACAAACGTCCTCAGGCTGCTACACTCAATAGTTATGTATAATTTAAGTTGAAAGTTATGTTCCCGGAGAGTGACATACGACGTTAGAGGGGTAAATATTGGCGACTCTTGAGTCATTAACATTAGCTTACCTTGAAATGAAATAAATTGTTATTCAAAGTTATTTGTTGACAGCATGCATGCGTGTCAGAACCCAGTTAGCGAGGATAAACGATAATGGCTTGTTTACGTGTCCTAGAACTGACAGAACTCTAATATTGAACTAATGCTCTAATGGCTGAGTCTCGCGCGATATACAAAGAGTTGTAAGAGTTGTTGTTTTGTAGGCGAGGGTTGCGATACGGCAATTAATTATTATAGGTTACTATATACTTATTAATAGGTTACTATGTACTATATATTATATACTATATATACTTATTTGCTATAGGTTATAGCAAATAAGTATATTAAGTGGCATCTGGGCTGACACTGGATGGTCGACCGGGGGTCAGAAAAAGGAACTATAAAGTCCTCATCGAAAATTGAAGTGTTAAAATAATTTAAAGCTGTCTATGTACTTATACTTACTTACTTACTTATACTTAATCTTACTTACTTACTTATACTTACTTACTTACATACTTACTTATGGTGGCGAAAAATACTTGAACTTTCGAATGATGTCATTCATTCCTTCATTTATATACTAATTCTTTGAATATCCTCTTGCATCAACCATAAAAGATATTACACGCATCAACACCTTAATATTCCATAGTATCTAGAAACTTATATTGGATTAACAGCCAACTGAAAATCAGTTGGTTGATTTCTTGAATCAGTATGAAAAAGTTGATAGTTGACGTTAGGTAATTCAAACTTTCTACTAGTCGAATTTATTTACGCAGATGTTTATTGCTAATTATAAAATTTATTATTGAGATGAAATATGAATACATTTAATTTACCTGCAAGCAACACATTGAGTACAATTATGAGTAATTAAAAATAAATATGTAATTGTTCACAATCAAATTTCAAATCAAACTTCGGGTGAACAGCTTGTTGGCGAATAAAATATAAATTTATGCTATATAAAGTCTTGATTCTTGAAGTTTTTTGATGTCCTTTTGATTATAAATGAAGTCTTTATTCTTTGAAGAATATTCATCAATAACCTACAATCACTCCTCACTTCTCTCGCATGGCCCTTCAGCCAAGGCCTATACTTTAAAAAAAAGTTAAGAGATCGTAAGTTCATCAGCCAATCATTGACGGCCTTTCAAGCAAAATACACCAATCATAGACAAGAATATAGCTCGTAAGTACTTACGTTCACTTAGCGAGTTTTGAAAGTATGGCCCCCGATGCTGATACAGCGTCAGCGATTATAGTAAAGTTATAGGCGTTGACCTGGGGCCATAATTTCAAAACTCGCTAAGTTAACGTAAGTACTTACGCTCAATTATCTTGTCTATGATTGGTGGATTTTGCTCCAAAAGCCGTCATTGATTGGCTGATGAACNGAGAAAAAAGAAGTTTTAGTCAAGTGCTATCGTTGGAGTTTTGGCGGTGTGTTTTTTTGCTAATTCTTAAAAAATATCAATTGCAATGTTACACAGATAATTGTAGCGGGCGTTAGGTTACTATTGTAGCGGGTATTAGGTCACTATTTGAAACAGTCGGGCCTTTCCTCTGTCACTGTGACACTGACAGAAATGTTGACAAATTGTATTTATATAGAAGGTATTATTTAAATGCACATTGACAGGATTATCATGTCCCGCTTGCCGTAGGGTTCTGGAAACACCGCATGAATGACCAAGAAAAACCTAAAGAATAACCAAAACTAAAATAAAATCCTAAACAGTTTTTTTGCCTCAGTTTCGGAAACTCCTAAAAAGTCAGTCATTTATTCTGATGAATTGCAATAAGTCAATTCATTTTCTGCTGAATCTCAATTCAGGACATAAATTTGCTGTATCTTCTATATAAAGAAAGTTTTTCATAATATCTGCAGTATTTTTATACAAAGGTCAAGAGGAATTTACAAGTAATGGACGCACAGGGCAAAAAGAAATGACTAGGTTTTTCGTTATTTTCAGCTGTTTTTAGCGTATTTTCTCATATACGGAAAAAATGCGCTATTGTGCTCGTCATGTCCGTCCGTCTGTCTGTCCGTCCGTGACTTCACGCTTTCGTCAACGAGAAAATGCGCTCTCTGTCACTCACTGCAGTGAGTACTGAGTTATATTTT